TGGGTGTGTTCCTGTCTAACAATGCTGTTAACATAAGCAAACAACCTCCCAGCTATCATCACATCTTGCTTCAAATGTTGCTAAACTCTGATTGGTGCATGGAAGCATATGACATCACATTTTCTCTACTGGGCCCCACCCACTTAAAAGCAGTGAAAAAATGTCCAACAACCATCTGAGCAACAACTGTTCTAACTCTGGCACAAGTAGAACCTCAACATTCACAGGAAGAAGCAGAAGGAGAAAATATGTTTTCAGAACGTTATAATGATCACAGAGCAGCACTTTTTTTTACATGTTGATGTCATTTAGTGTAATCTTATCTAAACTAATCTAATTTTATCTAATCTAATGTAATTTATAAATATTACTGACATACAGACATACATTTAAAGTATAGATGTTAATCATCCATTCATTTGTTTTCCAGTCTGGATTGAATTAGTCTCTTTCTGAATTATTTTATACATGTAAGTAATTAGTTTGAGTATTTGAGTATTAAGTTTCGAATGTTTGTCCTGCTTTGCTAAAGTGTTCTCTATGGAATAGTTTATACTGGCCTTGATGCTTCCAATAAAAAATGTCAAAATGTGTTTGTACATCAGAGACATTTTTATTCGAATAGATTATTAACAGTATAATCACCATTTAAACCCAGAGACTGATGATTTGTATGGCAAAAAAAAAGAAAAAAAAGCACATCTACCCTTACTTCCTGAGCTTGTAACTGGCTCTGGCTGACACAGTGTTAGTGGTTGTGCTAATACAAACGCTCACTCTCTGTACTGACTGGTTTTAGGTTTATTTTGCCCCGCCCTCCGTCTCCGCAAATTGACAGGGTCGGTTCCTTAGGTTTGTGATGTATGAAACCCTGGTTCTTGTCCTTGGTTCACTGCAAATCCAAGGTTTAAATAACGCAGTCACGGTGTTGATTGCTTATTTCACTCATAATATGTCTTGTATTATATATTTAAAAAAAAAAACATATGGACATGTTAACAAGGTTAAACACTTGATTTTTATTGGTGGAGGTCTTTAAGAGGAAACACTTTCCATTTAAATTTCTTCTGTGTAACCAGTCATGTATTCATCAGCACTCTGATTGAAGACAGTCAGCTAAGAGCTGCAACAAAACATCTGTTGCACATCAATTATTTAATCCCATACACTGTGTTTAGCATCTGATGTGGGCACCGAGAACGTGTAACATGACGTGTAGGTTCAGAGACTTACCGGCGCATTGTGTCGTTCCCAACTCCCTCACTCAGCCAACAGTATGGGCGCGGAGGAAGAAATATTGGGTAACTATGGAAACACAGTGTAGTGAATCTCTGAGGCAGGCGGCACTCTCCTTCAGAGGCCTCGAGTTAACAGGATTAGAGGGAGTTCACAGATGAGACCCTGAAGAGCAGGGCTTCTTTGTGTCTCCCCTTTGCTTCGCTTTCTCTCTGATCTCCGCTGCCCCGACTCAGAGATACAAGAATCACAAAAACATTCATCGCCATGCAAAAAAAAGGCAGAATGCATAGCTTTTCAAGGCTGCAGAAGTCTCTACCATACACTACCATTGTGACAGGAGTTTTGCTGCAGTGCTGCCCTTTAATCCCAGTCAGTACCTCATGTACCAAGGGTCTGGTACAGTGTTTAAATCCCATTCTCTATGGCTGCTGATTTGCATACAGAGATGAACACAACTTAAACGTTGGCTGGGACCAGACTAAATCTGCTTGTCAGTGTTGCTTGCCAAACTAAAGCGACAGATATATATATATTGCCTTGAATAATATAAGTGTTGCACATTGCAGACAATAGACAAGGATGCTGATTCTTAGCTTAAATGTTCAAGATGGTGTGAGGCCCCATTTGTGTTAAAACCATCTGGAACAAGAGTTCACCCCGGGGCATGCAAATTTAAGCACAGCTCTGCACACACTGCTCAAGAGATAAACAGTAAATCTGATGTACAGTATGTTCAGCTTGTGTGCAGTGGTAGAGTCATTTCTCAGAGGAGGAGAAGGGTTATCGCTGTTAAGATATACTTTTATTTGCAGACAATGTCATCCCGACATCCTCACAACCAACCAATAATAGCCAGTATATGGTGGGCTGTGGCTACCATAGCAACAGAGGCAAAAAAAAATGAGTGAGTCGAAGAGTATATCGCAGCCGCACCCATCACTGGAGCAACCAACCAGACTGGAAAACCGGTGCAGACAGGGGGCGGGCCACACTGTGAGAGTAGCTACTGAATAATTAGAGGGAGTCAGGAGGGCAGCACCTGATGTGGTTCAGCCAACCAGTTCCCTTTATGCTGATAATTTATTGATCTGTATGATTTGTATTGCTAATTTTTCAGTCAACATTGAAAAAGTGTTGCACGCTACTTTATGGCCTTTAAAGGGACACTGCACCAGTTTTACAAGTTTACTTGTCAGCTCTGTGTCAGCCTGTGAAAATAAGCAGGAGAAGGGATAACTTTGTAAAATCTGAGAACTATTTTCTTAAATTGTCAAAAAGGAGGAATAGAGCATGTGCTGGGGACTGTTTTCAGTGGCGGATGAATTCAGATTTAGTGCTCTACTGAGTATTTCTGGCAGCAGGACGGTGTGTGTTTTGAGGATCCTTTCAAAAATATTGCCATAAGTAGTTTTTATTCATCAGTTCACTACATACAAAATGCAGTAAACAAAACAGCAGCAGTCCTCCTCAGTTCACCTGTACACAGTTCCTCAGGTACTTGTCAAGTAGGTTGAGAACCTGCCACAGTTCATCTGTGGATTCAGTCTGTCTTAGTGTCTTTGTCTCTTCATGATCGACTGGCTCCATGATGTTGAGTTCAGGGCTCTGTGGAGACCAGACCATCTGTGGGCTCGTTTTCCTGCTGCAGAATGAATCTGGGACCATTCAGACGCCTCCTGATGGTTATTGTGTGACGGATAAAAATGTACAGTGTTGTACATCAAGCCTAGGACACAGACACACAATGTTTGTTAGTAGGATACATTGATTGTGGTTTTGGGCCTTTTCACAGGATTTGTTGATATTATGAAAAATATAGAATATAGGCTAGATATAGGATATTAGATGTAGGATATAGAATATGCCCAGAATTCAGCAGGAAGTCACCCAACTGCTCTTGATTTCCACTGCTGTTTTGCTGTGTGGTAGTGCACCAAATGAAATTGTTCTTCTTTCAGCTCCGTCTTACGTAACACCCCGAAATCCAAATTTCCTGCTGCTAATAGAAATATAATGGTTGTCTATAATAATTTCCTACAGTAATCACTGATTGCCCTGACACTTTGATTTTAGAGCTCATCTGCACACTTGTCTGAACCATGACTAAGTAATATAAACAACAGACATGATGCATAATGGTTAAACAAACAGTAATTGTGCTCATTATGGCCTTTGACAGGGGCGCTGGACTGTGGGCATGTTTTGTTAAACGTCTAGTTGCAGTGCAGTACACTGATGGGCCAAGACATTATGACCACTCACAGAGAAAGTGAATAACATTGATTATCTTGTTACAACATATATTAGGCTCTAAGCGAGCAGTCGGTTCTCGTAGTCACTGTGTAGGATGTGGGAGGGGGTAAAGACCTGAGCGACTGTGACAGAGGACAAACCGTCATGGCCAGATGCCGGAGTCGGAGCATCTCTGAAACAGCAGGGCTCCCGCTCAGCAGTGGTGAGTCTACCGAAGTCACAGGGTGTTGCAACAATTACAATCCCCCTCACAGACCCTGCCTGCAAATGGTTTGGTGCGAGGTACCACAGGGCACCTACAGAGGTCCTGCAGAGGGAGAGTCCAGGCCTCATTGGTTCGCAGCTGTTTTGGTGGCACCAACAGCATATTTGCCAGGGGTGGTCATAATGTTTATGCACTTCAGGGTATATGATGACTGTCTTTTATTTGGTGACTGTGGTAAATTTGGCAGCTCATAGTACATGGCAAGAATGATTTTAGATTCAAGCATCTTGTCAGATCACATCACAACGTCAGTTTCACAAAGGAGGAGATGTATGACAACAAACTTGTATCCTTTACTGTTTGATTGATTCTTGCCTTCCACTTGTAATTTGGGATTCAAAGTTTGCAGAGAAACTTTTAGCAAATATGAGGCTAAACCCAGAAGAACTGAGGCAGATCCAGGAGGATTTATAAACCCAGACTAGGTCCAAAGAGAATACCAGACCAAAACAGAAACTGGAACATCACCACAAGCAGAACCGCACACTCAACTAAAAAAACTAAAACTAAAAAATGGTCAGGTCATCATTCTTCTTGTCTTCCTTAATCATCTCTTTATATCCGAAGAATTGTAATGAAAATAAAATTAAAAAAAATCTAGCACCACATTGAATTATCACAATCCCATCCCTGATGAAGATAAATAATGTAATATTGCTGAATCCTAGTAAAGCTTCTGTAAGAGTGTATAAAGTTTCCTCATCATTTTAAAATAGTGACAGAACCTCCCAGATTCAGCACACTGCTAGTCACTTGTTTATGCCATGCAGTGTATTAATAGCTGGACTACGTGCTCTTATTATAAATAGCTACGGCTGCACCTTCACAGTCTAGTCTGAACAAAAGGCGTTATGGAGTTCATTCATCACCAGGAGTGAAAGAAAAGGAGGGATGAAGAAAGGGAAAGAGGGAGGAAGATGAAGAGGGAGGGTGAAAGAAGAGAGTGGACTGAACGGGGGGGGGGTCAAGCACTTTGGGTGTCTGTAAGTGTGTGTGTGCGTGTGGGGACATCGTAGAGAAACCTGATGGTTTTCTTTCCCTGAGCTCAGACTTAACATGAAGGACAAGCCTCAGGACCTTTACCTCAGCTTTTACACTTTTCACTCCATCTCCTCCCTTCCTCTCTAGTGCAGCACCCCCCCCCCCCCCCCCCCACCCAACCCTCACTCATCCCCCCCACCCCCATCAGTCCCTCACCCCCTCACCATGCTGCTACTCTACAACTGTTTACTCTCTCTCCTAGAATCGATCTATCGCCGCGGGGCCAGAAGATGGAGGAAACTCTACCGAGTCAACGGACACCTCTTCCAGGCCAAGCGCTTTAACAGGGTGAGTGTCACACACTCCTGACTGGGGAGCACACATGCTGATGCCTGAATACTGCTTCAGTCAGTTCAGTTAAATCACAGGGCAACACTGATGATTATTTCTAGTCCAGGAAATAGTCATTTACTATTATTTGATAAACTCCTCATAAACAACCAGCTTTTCCTGTACCCATGTCTGTGTGTGCTTCTGAATCTGTACATGAGTGTCTTTCTGCTTCTCTGTGGAGTTTACAGTAGAGTCTGTCATAAACATGCTGCAGTTAAATTATATATGACAGGTAATCAAGTCACCGCTCCAGCTAAGCTATCTGGATATTGATGCATAATTCATGGTGTCCTAGTTATGGCTTGTTTAGCAGTTGTCTCTCTCAGCTTCATGCTACACACACACACACACACACTCACACTCACACACACACACACACACACACACACACACCTGAATGCACATGTGGGCTCTCATCATTTCCCTGCCGAGATGTTAAAGGGCTGCACCTGCTCACGCTGCCGGCTCGTCTGAGAGAAGGACTTAAGCGTTAAGTGTTTTTATTCCATAATACTGTATGTCCACTGTGGAAGCCAGACGAAGAAAGACGTTAATGCTTTTTTCAAACTGGCGTTAAGTACCTAATGTGTTTCCTCTGAAGGGGAAGAAAGAAGATCAGGTTCTCGTGCTGGTTGAACTGCTTTTGTGAAGCACATCGTGCCATATTGTTGTATGATGATTTTGTCCCTTGTTAAATGGTTGAACATTTAAGCTGAGACAGCTGTCAGATGAATAAGAAGTGACAGGAACACCTACGAGGAGAGGCAGCTTCATATTCAAGTGCAGGGGGTAAGAATTCAGCTTCTGTCAGTTCATTTTAAAATCAGCTCCTCCTAAGAGGTGTGTAGTACAGCGCTCGGTTCAGTCTAGTTCAACACTTTCACTGTCAAGGTTGTTGAAAACAGACTCATAATAAATAGATAAAATAAGGCTTACAGGCTCACAGGTTGATAAGCAGGCAGGCGGATGATGATCTGCCGTTGGGAGCCGGCTTGGCCGATGGTCTGGGAGGTCTGGCAGTGTGTCAGCAGGGGCTGCCCTTGATCATAGAGCTCCGTGGCACTGGGCAGCATAGGGGACTGACATCTACTAGACCCAAGCTTTCTTCTAGGCACTCCAACCTCTAGATATCTCCCAGCAAAAGAAAGGAGGCTAGCCGACTGAGAAGCAAGCGGAGAATCAGGGTTGTTCAGAAAGTCCTTAAGCCATCCACTTCAGGAGCTCTTAGGCAACGGCTGCATCTTCAGAGCAGCCTCTTTGTGCTTCCTACTAGACTCCCTTTTCCACTCACCACAGAGGCACATGTGATTATAGGACAAATCATGCAGTTCATCTTCTGGGTCCATGGCAGCAGGACCAGTTCAGTGATGATGGAAGTTTAATAGGTAAAGATGTCTGAAGATCCTCAGTCATACAGGTCATGATTAACCAGGTTTAATTGGTTAAATAAGGCTTACAGCGGACAGGATGACGAGCAGATGGGCAGGTAGACAGGCAGGTAGACAGGCAGGTAGACAGGCAGGTAGACAGGCAGGTAGACAGGCAATTAGACAGGCAGGTAGACAGGCAGGTAGACAGGCAGGCAGGAGCAGACAACAAGGGAAAGTAAACATGAACTGGTGACAATGGCAGGTTTGAATACTGGCTTGGGTGATGAGGTAACTGAGGAAGGGAGCAAGTGTGTGAGCGTGCAGGTGCTTGAAGATAAGAAACAGGTGTGTATGGAAACAGGAAAAACATGGTGGGAAAACAACAGTGGGCAGATGAATAATGGCAGGTCTGGGGAGATGGGGCAGGGGCAGAGGGGAAGTGAGGGGCGGATCGTGACATAGACATAATTCCTGTCTGTGGCATACTAAGATTTTAAAGACGGCACCGATGTAAGATACAAGAGGGAAGTTTTAAAGAAAAATATATTATCACTGATAGAGTTTTCCTGGTTAGGAAAACAACTCTTGGGACGAAACACGTCCCACGGGTGCCATAGTCTTAATATCTAAACCAGAGAATGGATAAGCTCAGTGCCCCAGCATCTTGCTGAGTCATACTTTGCTTCCACATGATGGTGTCATTACTACTGAAGCACTGTGGGGCCTGACTTATTCAATTAACGTCACATAAAGTGGGGTCCAAAAGCCTGAGATCACTTCCCCATTTAAGTGAATAAAATGTGACACTCTGGACACAGTGCACTATGTGGTAAACAGAGAGTGATTTGAGACACAGACACAGATGGACACTGTAGACTGTGGTTCATGTTGTACATCCCACTCATTGTTAGGAAATAAGCTGCTAAAACACTGGGTGGAGGTTTGTTTAAATATTTAAGAAATCATTGCATCCCATCTCATCCCTCTTTTCAGTGGTGACTACAGTTGGAGGGGGGGCGACCTGATGGCCGAATGGATAGGGCACTTACCACATGGGCTCAAATGAGTCCCTGGCTCAACTCCCAGCCGGCCAGAACATTTGCTGCATGTCAATCATCTACTCTCTCCCTGCATTTCCTGTCTCTTTCAAATAAAGGCATAAAATGGCCAAAAAAGTAACTTAACAAAAAAAAAAACGGACTGACAGATATTCATGTTCCCCTATTGGATGGAGTAATGATCCGTCAGGTCAGTAATACTTAAGTTTATGACCAAGTAGCTGAACTAAGATGGTGACATGAACATTACACCTTCTAAACATCAGCATGTTTGTATTTTTCATGCTAAACATGTTAACATGCTGATATTAGCATGCAGTGCAATGCATCGCTGGGCCTAAGTGCAGCCTCACAGATCTGTCGGCATATCTGCAGAACTCTTGTTAAACATGTAAATCCTCATTAGGAAACCAGTGAGTGTCACAGACAGGGTAGGAAAGTCAGAAAGGCAGACACAGGCAGACTTGTCAATAAGAAAATATAGAATAACACCAGGCTCTTCTTTAAAATACAAGTTCAGGGAGAAATTATAGTATTTCCTGATTTTTTTTTAACGTATAAACTAATCATTGGATTTATAAAATAGATTATTACAGATTATTTCAATAGACGTCTTCACATAAATTCACAATTTATCATTTCGTGTTGGTATTGTTAACCAGTTGGTTTTCAGACAGGGATTTTTCTGACTGTTGTTGCTATGCCAGCTCCTCAGACTCTGGTTGGTTCACTATGTTGTCCTCTGCATATAAATAAGCCGAAGAGAAGTAGGTCAGGTTTCTCCTCCCTTCTCTCACTCTATCTCTCTCTACATGTTTGTCTCCATCTCTCTCCTCCCTCCACTCGGTCCCGCTCCATCTCCCCCTGACGTTGCAGTGGAGAAAGCTGCTTTGTGGATCCCCTCCCATCAGACATAATGGGGTCTCTTTAGCCCCTGTCTCCCACGTGATGAAACAGAATACAGTCGTCCCCACTGGCTGTTTGCCTCCACAAGCGCTCCATTAGGGAGATGACTGACACCAGCCTCTCATGGTACGAGACAAGAAAATCCAAACAAGAAGTCTCATTGGCTGCCGAGAGCTGAGAGGGAATCATTTCCACCACTGACTAGAGATGTGTTATCAGAATAAGAGCTGAGGTGAAGTGGATGCACATCAAAATCAATCTCCAGTGACGCTCAGGAAACACGTTTACACAGTTATCTTTAAATGTCCTGTTTTTTTCCTGTTTGTCTGGCAGAAACTTCCCATCTGGATCCACATTAGCTTTAAAAATGTTAAAATAACACAGTGCACCTTTGGCCAGTTTAGGCTTTTTTGAAGCCCTTGCCAAGACTTAGCCCCGCAACGATGTGGTTGAGTGGGGGAGAGAGTTGCTGGGGGTTCACAGTAGGGAGAACAAGCATTGGGCTTTACCCACATAAAGCTACTGCAGGGATCAGACATTAGGTTTATGTTTTGAATTAATTTGATTGGTTGAAAATTACTATTATTATTTCTAGCTACAGTAGCAGTGTGGGTCTAGAGACAGCAATGTTGGTAGGTGCTCCTCTTTGGTCCAGACTGAAATATCTCAACAATTAGTGGATGGATTGAAAAGACGTTTTGTACAAATCTTGGACCAGGAACTCTACAGACATTGGTGGATTAAAAGATTGATAAACAACCACCATGAAACGGAAAAAAGAAGAAGATAGGAGAAGAACGGTTGATAAACAAGCATGAATGGAACAAACACTAATAAACCCTTATAAACGCACAGGTCACTGGTGATTCAGAGCAAGAACTGTGTGGAGTTATTTGTCCTATGATGGTATGATAATGAATTTCCAAATCTATTTTCAACAGCTCTTATCCAACATCACCATTATGTTTATAATCAAAAGTCCCAAACCCACAATTGTATGCAACATGCTTTGACGTCGTCGGGGTAACTTGATATGTGACAGAGAAAATGCTTTCCCATTCCTCTTTATACCATTTTGAGCCCTTGCAGCCTCTCACACTCAGTCGCTTACCAGGTGACGTCCCCCAGGAGGGACATTGGGATTGGGCCTCAGACTCAGCTGCTGTTTTTACTTCCTGAGAACACATTGTTCTGGGATTTCCTGCCTTAAGTTCAAATGTAGAACACAGATAATTTATTAGAAAACAGTGAGTATTCTATTTGTATTTTTTTTTTAATATACATTCAGTCATACTGTAATAGGAAAAAGAATAAAATGATGGTAAAATCATTCCTGATTCCATGTGACCATGTGTTTTACTGTCGATGTGAAGTAAATATTTTGTAAAATGGCACAGAAGAAGAATATGTCACATTGTGGTAGGGTTTTAGTTGAATTGCTTCTTAGTGTTGTTCTGGTATTGAACCGGTAGTGGAGGCGGTCATGGAGCAGGATCGATGTCTGTGGAAAGGGAGAGCCGGCGTGGAGGGACAGACGCCAATGCTTTTGTCTTACATGTCACACCTCTGATTCCTGAACGTGTTATCTAAAGTCTCACACTGTAGCCGCACTATGACGACTGTGTTTGGTTCAGTGTAAACAAGCAAAGGCGGTTAATGAGTGCTCTTCATAACGGCCATGTAGTGGGATATCTGTTTAAAAGGGGATTATGATGTTGAGAAAAGGTTACATATTATTTCTCCTAGTTTCATGATTAGCGATGCAGCCTCTAACCTTTACACCCTGCTGCCTGTCTTGTCTCTGATTCTGTGGATACTGCATTAGGTTATGATGGAAATAAATATGGTTGAAACTTGGGGCTGTTTTTTGCTGTAATGACCCGATTTGACTTCACTGGTTACTGCAGATGTCATCGGTCAGTTCACTTTCTTTGTCACAGATGAATCAAACATCACTTCTCAGAATATTATTCCAGTCAGCTTCCAGGCACTCGTATGATCTGCGATGCTCCCTGCTGGGCTGAAGGGAGGCCTGTCAATCGATAAAAACTTTTCATCATCATCTCGTTGTCACGACCAGTGCAAGCAGGGCAACCAAAAAACACAGGACAGAACCCAAACGCAGAACCTGAGGCAGAGCTGATGCACTTCAGTGGTGTATTTACAGCGAGGAGGAACAAAAAGCCTTATGGGATGGCGAGGGATGCTAAGGTCAAAACCAGAGAGAGCTGTCCAATCAGGGAAACAAATCCAGTGAGGAGCAGGCAGACATGCACAGTCTGAACACAGGGACGGCAGGCAGGACAGGACACACACACAGTAGACTTAACGTCACGTTTTGACAGCTGAAATGGGGGAAGACCAGGTCATACATACACACTGAGAAAGTGACAGGTGACAGAAAGATGGTGGGAATAAACACAAAAGCAGGAAGTAAAAGTAACAACAGACACATAAGATAAGTGATTTCAAAGTAAAACAGGAAACACTTAACAGAGGGCAGGTGGAATGTCACACTCATACCTTTATTCCCAAGCCTTTCAAGGCTCAACTCAAACACTTCCCTGCTTACACCTAATATTTTGAGCATGACAACATGAAGTGCACTAGAAATACGTGGATGGTGCACTCAAAATGGCCAAAAGGTTTAGTTTAATCTTGGCTACCGAGTGAAATTATCTGATCTGAGACACAGCAAGTGCTTCCACATGACAAACACAGATGGAAGAAGAACATACTCCTCATCTGGTTCCAGTGACTGAATTACGTTATTCCTGTTTACCCTAAAATGTGGTGAAGTCTTTTGCACTGGTCAGGCTGGAATATCGCTTCATGTCAGGTTATGTAGACAGGTCTAGATGAATATGTGGTAAATCCTGAAGTTAATGAAATTCCACATTGGAGCAGACTCTGGGATTCAGGGATTAAATTTACATTTTAGCATCAAGCAGTGTGGAGATCCAGCTCCGTCACGGACGTCACTGACGGACTCAACTGCTCTGATCCCAGTCAGAGCATCAAGTTAATATACCTCCACTGTTGATGGTTCTTATGGCGATGAATGTTTCGTGTTTTTTTTGTGGCTGTTAAGGGGCCCCGAGGGGCTGACAAACTTAACTCCACAGCAATGTCTCAAAATGCATCTCCCTCCCTCTTAAACAACCAGTGAACGATCTGCAACGACGTCTCAGAAGCAGTGTTGCAAACTATTTTTAGTAAAGCCTGAACATACAATCGTTAAGTTACCAACACCGCTCAGTAGGAAACATCCCTGAAGGGGCTTCTGTGTTGATGAGCACTCTCCTTATAATGTGGGTTATTTACGATCTGACGTAATTTAGTTTTTTTTTTTTTTTTTAGGTTTTAATGATTCTTCATGATCTATATTTTGAAAATTCTACTGATGTAAACATTTGTAACTCTACATTTTTTTTTTGTATCAGATTATTTATTACATAATGGTAATGAATGCTGATAGGTGGGGGCCCCTGGGCAGTTAACGACTCTAGCTGAGTGAAACACTGTCTCCCGGTCACTCAGAGCTCCTGGTTCTTTCCAGACTCCTGTGAATCACTGCTTTAACAAAACTAGAAAACAGTGTTGTCTGTGATTTGTTAAACTTGGACATTATGCATGCTAAATATCACTGTGACATCACATGTGAGCATTTAACTCAAAGCACCACTTTGCCTGAGTGCAGCCTCACAGAGCTGTTAGCACGGTTCTAGACTTACTGTTTACACAGTTGCAAAGCTGCTGCTGTAGATCTCTGATAGTCATAAAAGGAGAAGCTTAAAGACGTCAGTCTGACTTGATTCGATTGCAATCTGTAACCTGAAACTCGGGGTAAAGCAGCATGCGCCTGGATGTCTTCTAAGCTGAGGAATAAAAGGCATAGCTAATAGCACTCCCTGGTGTTTTCAAGCCTGTCCAAAGCTTGATGCAGTGACAGGCATCCTCAGCAGCTCTTTTTACCTCACATTACTTATTATTTTCAGGTGGTGTGAGAGTGTGGTGTGTAGAAGGGAACTGGGAACGCAGCAAAAGTGTGTGATTAATTTATAAATGTTCGCCTTAACCTCTATGTAGAGTTAGATTAGAAAGACTGAGGGAAGCCTTTGAAGTCTCGCTGCATTTCCATGGCAACAGAGCCCTGACTGGGACTCTTTGTTCTTTACACTGTCAGCATATACACCCTGTGAATGAATGTAGCCGACGCACCGAAGTACACACGCTGCATCTTAAGTGTTCGGTCTCCAGTGAAACATTTTAGCGACATATTTTTTGATGTCCAGGGACGTTCAGCTGCAAACAAAACATCCTCTGGTACTAATATAGCCATGTAAGAGATGAGCTAAAAAAATAACCTCAAAGAAAGAACCAATCAAAGAACAAACAGTCTGGAGACCACGTTATGTAACAGAGTGAACTTCAGTAAGTCTCAGCTTTACTATAGATATATGTGAAGAGAGGGAGGAGCCCGAGCCCTGCACCACACACAATAATATAGTGAATACAGGATAGTAGGATACAGTAACAACTGAAATGTAAACAGAAAAATAGATATGTTCAGTGTAGTGTAGTGTAGTGTAACTTGTCAGGACCCCCTGCCGGGTGAGACCGGCGCTTTGCAGTCTGAATCCCAAGGTGACTCAATGAGCACCGTCATCCCGAGGAGAACAGTCTCTTTCTCGTCTGCCTCTGTTGTCTGTAGTGTTTTGAAATATGTTATAATTCCTTGTGGAAGATAAAATGTAGTCTCAGAGTTGAAATATAATAATCTGTTGCTGCTGGTTTGTTTGAGGCTGAAAACATAATGAATACTTTTTATGTTTTACTGGACAGTTTCACAGCAGCACTGCCTCTGTGGACTCTGGGTTCTTATGTTCGCAGATACATCACCACATTTCAGTAAGAACTAATATATGTACATGAAAATGAACAGAGGCAGTGTGGTCTATATTAAATTTTTAATATACCGTATATTACAAATTGGAAAATAGGTTTATCTTTTACTACACTCACTGTCACTGTGTTAGATTTCTTCCCCTGAAAAAGTCTGTGTGTACATCTGTGATTATTGAGGCCAGCGTTTTTGTATTTGGAGCACATTCCTCTTAATGTTTGTGCTTTTTCTCCATTATGAGCTTTGTCCCTAGGGGCTGCCATATGAAATAGAGACAGTGTTCAGTTGGTACTATCTGAATGAATGAATCAAATTAACTCTTAAAACGGTGTAATTCAAAGTCTTTGTCAGTGCAGAACAGGTCATTACCAAAACAATACCTGTTTATTTTTGATAAGTGAACTTGTGAATAGAGTTGTTTTTGTTTGAGCCCTCTGTATCACCAGACCTGCTCCATTCAAATGAATGTGGAGGCTGCGTTTTTCAAGTTGTCCTCAAAGTGTATTTACATTTGTCAGGTGGCCATAAACTTGACTCCAAATGAATGTTACTGTTACTCTGTCTCTGCTGAATGTGAGTGAGTGTAGGTAGGCACCTACCTGCCTAGGTGTAGGTAGGCAGGTAGGTACTTTATAATTCCAGAAGGACATGCAGGCATCCAGTTGCTTACATGATACACATAAAACCCTCCACCTACCACAATATAAGAACCAAAGAATCAAAAATCAGAAACAAGAGCACAAAAAGTAAAAAAACAGAATAGAAACCGGCATCAATAATTAAATAGAAACAAATCACCTGCTCAGCAGTAAATGTGACCCGTCATAGAGGTAGTGCAGAATGTAAATGTGCACGTCTGTAAAATAGAAACTGATTAAGCTATCACGTTCACTGGATCAACTTTATAAGGCCATGATAATATGTGATGTTTTGAGCTTCAACACTGTCACAGCTTGTCCATCACATCCTTCCACCGTATATCTCTCAATGCTCCCTCTTGATTAACCCTTGACGAATCAACAGTGATTGTGTGTGTGAGTTAAAGACTAACCTATCCGTGTGTGTCCTGTCTTACAGAAAGCCTACTGTGGCCACTGTAGTGAAAGGATATGGGGGCTGGGCAGGCAGGGCTACAAGTGTATCAACTGCAAACTGCTGGTCCATAAGCGCTGTCACAGACTCATCCCTCAGACCTGCCAAAGGCTTATGGTGAGTATCTCATCATGTCCCGAGCAGCGGGAAGCACAGCGTCAGCCCGTCACAGCAACACCAACACAGCCTCTCAAATCAAGCTTACATGTAGTCCACGTGAAGGATGGGAGATTTGATTCCCCCAGCAGGAGAGTATTATGTGGTAACAACATGTCTCACATATTTATACTATACATTTTCATGACTCTCCTTTATATTTCATTTTAGACAACCATTTATTTGGGTTTAAAGCGTCATTTTGGCCTTATATTCATAGTTTTGGTCATCATCACTGTTAGTCATTGAACATTACAGTTGCTATAGAAATGAGAAAGAAGCACAGGCTTATGAAATCTCTTTCCTGTCCTACTCTTTATTCAAGAGTGTGGTCTTTCATTAACTCTTCATCTCATCCTCAGACTGTGTAAAGTTAACCCTGCCCTCTCTCTCTCCTATAGAGATCCTGCTCACCTGCATTCAGATACACTGTTGCTGCACAAACATCCTGCACTTCAGTTTAAGGGTTAGAAACACCCCGGCATCCATTTTGTTGTTTGTTGCCTAGCAACAGTGTTCACATAATTGAGCGAAATTCACATTTGAAAGCCAAGCATATTATCATGGATACCCATTAAATCTGAAGAGAGTGACAGCTCCGTTAAAATGAAGCACTGACCTGAGGTCCTTGACCTGACTTGTCCTTGAAGCTGGTTAAACAGTAACAGCCAGAAAGGGAGCGCACCTGCAGGGAGACAGTGACCATTTAATCGGTCAACGTCATACCTGGTTGGGTGATTTTAACATTGGAGTCATTTCGCAAAATGTCCGAGAATGAGCAGCAGTATCTGAGTGCAGGAAAATGCTTTTGTGCACATGAACAGAGACTATTTGACAGAGAGGAAAGTGTTTTGAAAGAAAGCAAAATCTGAATGTGAAATGAAGAATTAGTTAAAGATCACAGTGTTGAGTAAAGATAGAAAAGAAACTATGACTATGAGTTTATCCAGATTAACCACTTCATACAGAGATAAACTCCAAAGTGTGAACACCTGAAACTTTGTGCACAAGTTCAGCAGGTCAGAGCTGAAGCCTGAAGTGAGTCTATAAACTGTGTTGTAATAAACTGAAATAATCCTGCAGTGGGTTCAGGGTTGTTCAGGTAACTGAAAATCAGACCTGACTCTTCTGCTTCTTTTCAGAGGCAGACATAAAATCTGTTCTGCTCTTACTACTTAAATACCAGGCTGAGCGTTTGAAGTGATCTTCATGTAAAGTTTTACTGAAGGGAAATGAGTATAGCTCACCCTCTGTGCACGAAAAACGTTAATTACATTTCAACACCTGCTCAGTTTGTACAGTTTTCTGTGGCCAGAACCCTAAAGCGCCCACGCTGCACCGAGTGTTGCTCACTGTACTTTTTAGTTTAGTCTGAAAAATAGTTTGCACTTTGATTTACATCATTTAACCTCCTGAGTGTCTCTGTGACCCGCATCTCACAGTCACTGGCAGCACACAGCTGTATTAACGAATAATTAGGAAATGTGTAATTGTTCCCCTGAGTAAGTGCTGTAAGCTGCTGAAAAATCAAAGAGATCAATGTGTTCAAGCACAACTCTTTGAACGTCTCCTGTCTTTCTGCAGCTCGTTCTCCTGTTCTTTTCTCCCATTCTATTGAAATGAGACTTCAAGTTTAGTGACAGCAAATCAGTGTGCTCCATGCAATCAATCCATCTGACCACAAGGTAAAACACAAACATCCAGAATTCAAACCTGACAAGAAAATCAATGCAGTCAATACAATCCTTGCTCTGGTACTGGGTGAAGTGATCACAGCTTCAGCTCGGTATCTTCAGCGCCTGATAAGTGACTTTGCAGCTCGATAAGATGAAGCGATTCAATTCCTTCTCCAGTAAAACTCACACTTTGTCATTAGAGTCTCGGAGCAACAGCGTTTCTCTACATTAGCTGAGAGCAGACTTCTCCTTCGTCCTTGCAAACATGATTCATCATAAGCTCTTCCAGGAGTGTAAAAGCCTGAGTGGATATTTCAGCGGGTATTTGGGGGAACGTGTTGGGGGATATTTAAGTGGATTTTTTTACTTCTTTCTTCAGGATCCAGTCATGCCATCGCAGGAGCCCCCTTCAGACGCTAAGAGTGAAGAGGTGGACCTTCCACCAGATGATACAGAGGACACAGATGGAAGTAAGACACTTTCTTTCTTATTTTTTGGAACAAGGGAGTTGACAGCAGCCATGTTATTGGCTCCAGTTTTTTGTAATGTCTCAGATCTATCATGCACACACCACAGCATTTTCAGCAAACCACTTATTATGAGCCATCTTTTCCTTCTTTTTTGTTACATGGAGCCGGGAGTCAGTAAGTACGACTGTCACCATGAAAACATGGCTCTTAGTTCAGAGTCAGCCTGGGGATAGTGTTGCTAACTTTTTAGGATTGAAATAAGTCAGACTTTATTGTTGTGAAACTGCCCAAACGGTACAGACATGTCTGACTCGGTGGCCATTTACATCCGCAATCCACAATCTGCTCTTCACATTGAAGTAGCACGACAGTGACACCTGTATCACAGCAACAAACACACAAGCATACATGACTTAACACAGCTCCTGTGACTTTAGAGGGAAGAGTTATGGCAGTATTTTTTTCCGTAGTTGTACATTTGAAGACACTGTTTGTACTGTATACTCCATGCACAGTACAGTATATACAGCAGTGCATGGCTACCAGAGTGGGATCAAGGAGCCGTCAGGGACTCTTGATGTAAATCCTAGAGTCTCAGACTAATGAATAATAGAACTTTGTTGAAAAGATTCGCTGTAGACCCTGGTAGCTTAAGCTCACATTCACTGTCATTGCTTATGTAACACTGACTCTCCACTGTTATCTAACCACATTACTGCTCTCTGATGGGATCCCATAGAACAGAGCCTTAAATCCTATTATAGGAGACTGAGGACTGATGTGCCGGACTGTTTGGGGGTCCCTGCTATGAGATGTTCTGGGACCCCATGCGGATTGACCTAGTTTGGTGTTTCCTGTGGATGGCCAGACTTTATTGTGTACTCTACCTCCCTCTGCTGGCCAGGAAATGAACAACATGTTAAATCAATAAGTGCAGGTTCAGTTCTGTTCCATTGCAAGTGTCTCATAATTCAATTACTGTGTGTATCTGTTTTTTGCAGTACCTTTTTTACCGCACAACTGTACAGTGGATAAAACAGAAGATGCAGATACAGAGGTGAGAAGGTTTTTTTATTTTATTTATTCATTTAATAGAGAAGATGCTATTTAACATAGTTCCAATACAGAGCATGAAACTGATGAGTAGCACAGAGGGTTTATAGCTGTGGCTAATTGTTAACTCTTGGCCCTAGTTGGCTTTCAACTCACACTTTCCAAACAGTTTTAAACAGATACAACACTACAACAACAACAAACACCACTACGGAATTTATTTCATCATTCATATAATAGATAATAATATGAAATGCTAATAATCTGAAGTTTATCAAATAATCATCCTTTGAATATCATACACACATCACATATTTGGAAAAAGCCATAAATCATTTTGTGTTTGAAATTATTTAGAAAGTGTTTTTATGTGATCATTCTTCTGCCTAAAATAAATTCAGTCTAATTCAAACTAAAACTCTTAAGGTTCATATTTATTTTGAACACACTCCTCTGCCCCCTGCAGGACATCAAAGCAGTAGTGGACGGCATTGACGGCATCAAGCTGTCCCAGGGCCTGGCTCTTGGGCTGGGTGACTTTGACTTGATCCGGGTGATCGGGCGTGGCAGCTACGCCAAGGTCCTGCTGGTTCGGCTAAAGAAGAACGAGCAAGTGTACGCCATGAAGGTGGTGAAGAAGGAGCTCGTCCACGATGATGAGGTGAGGCACTGATGAAACAGGGACATAGCTACACGCAAGGTACTTAGAGCTGCTTGATGCTGACAGACGGACCAGATCGTGGATACACTTGTTACCACACTAAACATGAACCATCTCTGCTCCTGTCTCAGAGCGGCATTTGCCAATATGTCTTTATTTTTCTCATTTAAATGAGATAAACAAGATAAAAGATCACAACTAGGCTTCATTTGAAATGGACAGACAATACAGACACTTAGTGTAAGTGGTCACTGTGTGAGACCATGACTCATCAACAACATTAAAGGAAGGGATAGAGAGAAAGTGGAAGCCGCTTCACTCAGGTCAGCGGTTAGACTGAACCTGAGGAATCTTTGAGTGCTGTCTCACCAGAAGATAATTCTGGGTTTTATTTTTTAAATGACATTTTTCCATTATTTCTATTACGATAACATTGTACTCGCCAAAGTAATGGCTTAGTTCTGCAAACACAAGTACATTGCTACAACAAAGTCCAACAGGTGAAGAAACAGGAGCAGCTAAACGATCAGACAGTTTTCTTCCACATTATCAAAACCCCTCATGGAAGTGAAACTGAAAGTAAGAGCAGCTGAAGTATTGGTAGTCTGACTGTTTGCTTTGATTTTCTCTTCTAAATAAGTCTGGCTAGCCTGTGTTCACCATGTGACTATTCTGTTTGATTACAAGCGTAGTAGAAACCTACATTCAACTGTAAAATATATCTCACACCTAAAGTTGATCTTTGCATTGTGGTGCTATGTGTCCAGTAATGAACACAGAGATTGATGTTTGTCTTCAGCTGTTTATCTCTGCACAAACTCTTCTTACCTTTGGTTTACCTGGAGACGTAGACGTTACTGAATGGGTCGTTCTTGTGGATAAACCGCGCCCACACACGCCAGTAGCATATACAGTATACCGTACAATACCTACTGATTTCTTCTATGTAAACCCACACGTAGAAACGTCGGAATCTGCCACTGTCCTATTTCCCAGCTTTAACATGCGCCACTGCTCCGTTGCAGCAGTTTAATCACTTTCACTTCCCAGAGACACACAGCCCAGCTTCTGTACCTCGACCGCTTTTTTGTGTCCGTGTGCCGTGGACATCAAATGACATGATGCTGTTAGACCAGCAGATGTGTGCTGCACTGTGGGGTGGAACTCGTTTCAAGACACAAAAGGTGATGATGTGTAGGGCTTCTGCACTGATTCAAGATAGGTGAAAGGGAAATCAGTGAGTCTAATGTGTTTTATAGGTGAGGAGATGAATTTTAAATACCTTTTTGAATCACGCTTTCAGTACACGCTCTTAGACTTAGAGGATTGCTGGTTTTGGATTACATCGTCTATTTAATTGCTTTGACCTTGCATCTCAAGGAGGCAGCCCCTGATCAGCCGGACAGAATGAAAAGCAGCAGCTCTGGGGCGGGGGTGGCACGGATTGAGAACTGCTGGGGCTATTTAACAGGTCTAAGTGATTCAGTGATCAGTGAGGAAAGGAAGGATCGAGGTGTAATGTGAAGGGCAGAGGTTGGTGGAAGGAGGGTGGAAATAGAACAGTGAAAGATGTTTGGGGAGATGGAAAGCAGGAATGAGTGAAGAAGACTGAGTCAGAAACTAGTTGGAGCTTCTGAAAGGAAAGAGGAAAAAGAATGGGGTAAGGGGGGGGGGCAAAGCAAGGTTGGAAATGACACAAAAGTGGCAGAGAGCTCATGAATTGAAAGGCTGAGGAGGAAGCAGAAGTCAGTGAGTGGGTGACTCACAGGAGATGATAAAATCCGGGTATATTTTTTGGAGTGATGAATTGCCAGATGAACATGACGTGAAATTCATTTTAAAGAGGAAGAGACTGCATCATGCTCTTACAGCAGGAAATACACACACACACACATCATTCGCATTATATATTTATTATTAATGTGAGTGTAGCTGGAAGAGCGCAGTGTGTCCTTGTTTCCATGGTTTAAGAAACAATTTATTTGGAAGTGTTCATGGAGAAAAACTATTACTATAACTATAACTATATAAAAACACTTCCATGTTTAGTCTCTTAAAGGGTGAATTCACCCAAATTACAATTATACATTTTCACATACCTCCTCCAATGAAATAGGAGGAAATAGCTAGCCTGCTCGTACTAACACCTTTACAGCTCACTGATGAACATGTTGCATTGCATTAGTTTAATTTGCACACAAACAGAAATGTACAGCAATAATTTACAGTTTTAGGGGGAGTTACATGCTGGAACTATTTCTTGTCAAGCAGTGGTGTATCCTTCCACCTAGCAGTGCTGGATGCAGTGAATGTATTGTCTCTGCTCTCTTTCCTCCTGCACCCCTTCTCTCCCCCTCCCCTCTCTCTCTGAAAGCTGCACACAGTCACTGCATCCAAATGTTAAAAAAAAATGTTTTCACATTCCTGTTTGTGTACAGATTAAACTATTGAGCAACATGTTAATGAACTTTAAAGAGGTGCTGCGAGGTGTATTTCTGAACCACTGTGATACTCTGATGTTTGCTGTTCAGACAGTCAGTCAAATTTGAACAAAGGCCAAATAATTCAAAACTCATCAGTTGGAAAGCAAAGTCTGTGAACTTAAGTTAACACAACTTCTGTAAGACTTCTTCAGACTCACCGTGTCCTCGATGGTCATACTATTCATCCCAAATTAGACAAGCCGCGCTTCTGTTCCATTATTTCATTTTGCAAGGACACTTCGGGAAAGAATTCAAATCATCTTTTATTATTGGACACTGAAGAAAAGCAACACCATAAAAAAAGTTTATTGAGAAAAAATAATGAAATAACAGAACTGAAGTATGTGATCTTGAGCCTTTTAATCATCTGTACCTCTTGTGAAATTACGTGAAGGCTACTGCACCTCTGATCGTTCACTATTACAGTATAAAGGAAAGGAGAGTGTGTTTATCCTGCACAGTTCATTTACTGAACTCGTCGCAGTGTGCTTTGTGTACACATTAAAATAATCAAAGACAAAGTTACAAGAGAGCGATTGTACGGAGATGAATAGGACCTGATAAAAGAAGAGAGCTGAAGCCTGTTGAATTTGCTTTGTTGTTTGTGTATACGGCCACTAGATGGTGCCGTTGCTCAACATATAACTCCTTTTAAAAAAAAACACGGACCCATGGGCTCATGTATCCACACTGTCCAGAGGAACTGCATCATCCAGCATCTGCACAACTAACTCAGGATGTCATAGATGATGTCGCAGGCTTCATCCTCTTTTTTTGGTTTCCACACAGAAACACTTGATACTTAAATCCAGTGTTAAAAACCAAATTTTCTGTGAATAAAACAAAACTGATTCCATAAAAGATTTGAGGAAATCATTGTGTTCTATCAGTGTTTTGAGTGAACATCCCATTTTCATTTATTAATGGCTATACTCGTGTACATTCATTTAATAATTCATCTTTGCAGTAGTCTAATGCCTCACATCAAAGGAAGCTTGTAAGAGCTGACTACAAACTATTAAAGGAGATGAAATGACCAACAGGAGATGTGTTGTGATGGTGAATTCTGCATAATTATAAATTCCTTAATTAGTAATGAGTTGACCAGAAGGAATTTGGTATCATGTTCACAATATGGGGTCTCTATTGTGGTGCTATAAATTAAGTATACGGTGTCGGAGCGCAGCATGGGGAACTCAGAATTCAGACACACTCTGTTTTAGCTTACATAAAACATAAACCATCGTCAACTTAATGACACTTTAAATCAGCATCAAACATCCTCACCTCAGGCTAAACTTGAACAGCTCTCTGCAACTGAAGTATGAGCAATTAAAACCACAGAGGACTCATAATAATGATACACTCTGGATATTCCAGAGAACAGATTTCTGTATAAAGATACTGTAGGTTTATAAATATCTGTATTTCACGTGTTACTCTTTGTACTTTGTGACATCTGATTTGGAAAGGAGATATAGGAATAAACTTTATTCATTCATTCATTCATTATTAAGGACACAGCTCAAGGAAAAGAGGGAAAAAAGAAATCCACTCAAAAACAAAACAAACTACAATAATCAGACATTTACATATTGGCATCTAGAGCAGTGGTTCTCAAACTTTTACACATCAAGGACCTTTATACTGACACAAATTAGACCATGGACTTCCTTCTCAGGAGAGTTTTGCTTTTAGATGTTTTATTCCAGAAAGTGTTTGAAACCCATGACCAAAACAGTCACACATTCTGTCATTGTGTTATTGATGGATGGAATTATAATGAAATAAATGATTCCCTTTTTGCTGGGGAACCCAAGATATTCACATGGAACAGAACATATACAGAAATTTCCAGAAAATCAGGATTCTGACTAGAAATCTAGAAACCCCTCTTTGATATAATTTGTTAAATAATACTCTTACTTGCATGTTAATCTATTTGTATTAATAATAATCCAATAACATATGATATACAGTCACAGTTACACCTTTGCAGGAAAAACTCAACTTGTTTAAAGCAATCATCACACCACTTGAGGTTGAGCTGATGTTTTATATCAAACTTTACAATTTTAATCACAACAAAAAACTCAAACAGGCAAGTGAGTGAGTGTGTGATCACACACTGTGCCGAGAGACTCAGGAAGTAAGACAAGTAGGTGTCCAGCTCCAAACCTAAAGGTGAGGTGCTCAGGTCTTACCATTAATGTAATACTAGTGTAATACCACTACTGTATTTGACTGTGTCCAAACATTTAGTCAAATGCCTTTGACAAAACATTATTATAACATTATAAAAGAGCAGCTCTGTCTCTATGTCATTTCGTCAAACACTCACTGTTGGTTTTCAAGACAGGCTTGGTGTTTATGCAGCAAAACAGTCTGAGGATAATCTTGAGTGAGAGGAGTGTTGTCTGGAGTAACTGCATTCTTTATCTGCGCTGTGGTCTCTCTCTATCTGTCTGTGCAAGTGTATTGATCAGACAAATTGATTGTTAATACATTATCTTTCCTTCATGCCATCTCTGTCTCCGTCTGTCTCGCCTCATCTCCCCAGGATATCGACTGGGTGCAGACAGAGAAGCATGTGTTTGAGCAGGCGTCCACCAATCCCTTCTTAGTAGGCCTGCACTCCTGTTTCCAGACAGAAAGTCGGTAAGAGCCTGAAAAGGGTGAAGCTCGCACTTTACTTCTCACACAGCTCACAGCACCTGACAGAAATTTACAGTAATGTAACATATTAGTTTGATGAGCGTCTGCACTTCATTAATGCATGAGGTTGGTGTATTTTATGATTTTATTATCATCAACAAATCCCATGGAAATGAATGTCTCCTGTTAACTATTGTTTGTGTAACAAAAGCCTGACATCCTATGCCTCTGTCTCATGGAGCTCCACTGCCCTAAAACTACTGTGATGCTTTCAGTCACTTGGACTTCATCAGGGCATGACGAATCTAAGAGCTTAGAACATCCTGGTAAAAAGTGGATTTTAGCAGCATTTTGCTTTGATGGATTATATTATAAGTCCCATATTTTACACTTTCCCTGTGTTTTTTTTTTTTTTTTTTGAAGTGTTGATCCGTAAGAAGATATATTTTTGGTTTTAAGAACCATAAACCACTCTGACTCTGAGCCTGTTTTCTGATTGGCTGACTGTTTTATGAATGGCCGATTTCACGTAAGCACTCGGTTGGTGGGTCCAGGTGGGCTGGGCTTAAGGCATGGCTGAGGGTGGTCACTGCTTCATTATAACATCCCTAAGTAACAGAAGTCCTGACGGCTTGTTTTCAGGCTCAGTTTCTGAACACAGTCTGTGTGTATTTCTCTGTGGACTGAGCGCTTTGATTCTTTCACATAGAATCTAGACCTGCTTTATAATCAAAAAAGATATGGACATCTCACTTTATACAATATGGGACCTTTAATATGCTTTAAGGCCATAATATATTTTGTGCACTTCAACAGTTCTCCTGATGTTTCTTCCCCTTATATCTTATACTTATAAGTATAGTAAATATATATATAGTATAAGTATATATAAGTATTATTTTGATCTTCTGATGGCTTTCTACATTGCTTTACCCTCGGTTTTTACATGCATGGAAAAACACAGGTGTGCTTTGTTTGATGTTATTGTAAGTTTTGAGAATCCTCTTTGTCAAACATTTGCCTTGATGAAGGTCTCTTCATCAAAAGCTTGGCTTCATTATGAAATACTTACCTTGGAAGTGTGCAGAGCGTTTTATTCTCCATTTTAGATATTTTTAGCCAATGTGCAGCTGCAGAGCAGTGCTGCAATCTTCTCAAAAGCATGTCCAAAAACTATTAAAACACATAAAGCAGCCATATGAAATAGTGAACAATACTAGACATTCAGTTGACAAAGTGAGACAGAGGCATTATATTTTGAGGTTGTCTGTCTGTCCATTCGTCCCACTCTGATAAATGTGATATCTCAGTTATAGAGAATTTCTTCAAATTTGGTACAAACATTCACTTGGACACAAAGATTGACTGATTAGAATTTGATCGTCAAATGTCAAAGGTCAAGGTCACTTTGACCTTACAAAACAAGGCCATAACTCAACAACTTAACAAGAACCAACCCATAATTTCCTCTAGCATTGATTCTGTAGCATTCATTAGGGACTTATGAGTCGAGACTTTTTTGTTGGTAGAATCATATTTAAAGATACAGAAAAATTCTCAAGGAACAGATCCATTTAAATCAAAGAGACATAAACAGACAAAGCACATGTCCCATTTTATATCTACTATACTAAAGACCTTTTTTGTCTGCGTATGTGTGTATTTTTAAAAAATTTTTAAACTCTCTAGTGTTAACATTTTTAAAAGATCCCCTGTATACTGATGCATTTTCCCATTATGCTCTGGTTTCCAGGTTATTTCTGGTGATTGAATATGTGAATGGCGGGGACTTGATGTTTCATATGCAACGACAAAGGAAGCTCCCAGAAGAACATGCAAGGTAAATATCCAGATGTTAGCATATCTGTTTACATACATGACTAAAAAGTCAGAGTCCAGAATTTAAGCATCTGTATTTAAGTATATAATCTTTAACTGTATTACTTTCACATGGAAAGGATCTTAACTCATACCAGAGGTGCATGTATAAGTAGCGTTTTTAAAGGACCAGTGTGTAGGATTTGAGGGAGGCGGAATTGAATATAATATTCATAATTATGTTTTTCATTAGTGTATAAGCACCTGAAACTAAGAATCATTGTTGGTTAATTCGCTTAGAATGAGCCCTTCTTATCTACATAAAGAGCTGGTCATCTTCCATGGAAACCATGTTGCAGTTGCACATGTTTCTACAGTAGCCTAGAATGAACAAACCAAACACTGGTTCTAGAGGGGGTCTTTTGCCTTGTCACATGACCTGAAGTCCACCGTATTTTCTTTTACATGTTTGGAAAGGGAGGGTTGAGGGGCGGGGTATTCAGTAGGTTACAATCTGCTACCTCACCACTAGATGTCACTAAATATTACACACCGGTCCTTTAAATGTAACTGAAGTGGAGAGCTGTTCTCAAATGTTCAGGCTATTTTAAAGATAGCAGGACTAAGTTGAGGTACTGCAGTGAGGCCTCCAGGAATTGGCTGCATGACCAGGGCATGACAGACAAGAGGGTGAATTTATAACTGGGTCTTGGTTGAGTTGACATGGCAGAGTCAGCCGGCTACACAGGAAACACATCCATGCTATTTGGGCAGACTGACTGAACTTCCTCCAGGTGGTTCCTCTGTACTTCACGTGACAGTGTTATGTGAAGGGCAGAGTGTGTGCACTGTAGTTGTTGTCTTTCAGTTAGAACAAAAAGCATCAGTTTGAAAGCATGTTGTTTTTTAGTGTGGGACAGCTGGAGTGGGTGTGCATCTCTGAAGATGCTTTTATATTCACCTTCTTTGCACTCAGTCTAAACTGTTCCTCAACAGCATACTTCCTCTAAGTACTCCTCACAAACCTAGGCTTAATGGGAACCTTTAGCAGCATGGATTTGGCAATGCCGCCAAAACCCAACTTAACACTCTTTTTTTCCCACCTCTGAGAAATATAATGAGCACCCATAATTCATTGTGCCAGTCTACTTGCAGGGCACTCCAACTGCGGCTCTGATAAATGCAGGATCAAAGGCTGGGTAATTTAGAGAGGCACTGTTGGGCCCCAATCGGCCCCTGCAATCTGTATTCTGGAGACAGTGGCTGTACATATGCAAAGCAGCATGTTAATCACTCATAATGATTGTACATATTCATGAGCAGTGCTCTTAGAGAGAGCCCTGCTGCATTCCCCCGTGCAGTGGGGGAGGCGGGCCGGTGGGCGACGGATGGTGCTGCCGATAGGACGCAGCTTCTATCAGTCTGATGCCAGCAACGAAACAACGCTGTACAATGAGGGCTGTCACAGTGAAAACGTGGGGGAGCAATGTGGGATTTGTGATTTCTCTGTCAAACATTGCTTCACGACAATCTTTCCCTCAGTGTTTGACAATCGTGGATTTACAACAGGCAGACGGAGAGAGGCTCATCAGTGTTAATGAAGGCTTATCTCCCAGAGACAGAATACACACTACCTACACATGGAGAGAAAACATGCTACTGACTCACCGAAGAGGCGCACAGTACATCTAGTCACTGTTAAAGCATTAGTATGTAAAGAGTAATGTTCACTTTAAATATTTTCACAGGATCAGAATAAATAATCTTGATAACTTAAATATACTGATGAAAAGTCCTTTAAACTTCAGAACTCATTGATAAACTAGACGTAAACAAATGTGTTGCATGTTCATTATATATTTTTGTATTTCTGTATTTTGTTTGATTGCTTTATAACAAACCAAACAGGGAAATTACGTCAAAGCACAGTGACAATGTGCTGAAAGTTTCCCAACATTTAATAAAAGTTACATAAGTGCCCCCTAGATCCTCAATATATATGTGTTGGATAGAATGAGCAACATGCTGGAGAATCTTGCTGTTCTTCGAGCTTTGCTAGTAGTGGGGCTAACATTGTCATGCACAAATTAAATTAAACAAAATTAAAGGTCCCAAATTTTACACTTTCCTGTGTTTTTTTTTTAAGTGTTGATCCATAAGGAGATATATTTGTAGTTTTAAGAACCAAAAATTATCTCAATGTAGTTTTACATCTCCCCTTTCAGGCTTCTCTCTGTAGCTCTAGCATCTACAGTTCGGTGAGCTTATCAGAAGAGGGGATTCTGAGCTCTGCAAGGTTGAATGGTGGGTCTGGGTTTGGAGCGTGGCTAAATATGGTGACTGCTTTGATGTGACATCACAAAGTTACAGAAGTCCTGACGGCTCATTATAAGGCTCAGTTTCTGAACACAGGCTGTGTGCGTTTCTCTGTTGACTGAGTGCTTTGATACTTTCACAGTGTTAATGTAGAACCTAGACCTGCTTTATAATTAAAAAAGACATGGAAATCTCACTTAATACAATATGGGACCTGTTATAGAATCAAGTGGGTTCATTTCACTTCTCTGGCATGTACTGTATGTACTCAGATGAAAATTCATAGATTGTTTAGAATGGAAAAGGTTCATCCTCTGGATGACAATGTGACTCGAGTGTTACAGGTAGAGATGCAGAGCTTTTCCTTTATCACAAAGATCGCAACACTACTAACCCTTATTCTGTGGTTTAATCACAGTTTATCTCTCTGTGACTAAGATGGTTATCAATTTTGTACATTTACATTATTATATTGTGCTTTTACATTAATGGGACAATGCTCATTTCATGTATGTGCTGTGCAGGAAATATTACAAATATGTCATTAGGTCTGAGAATTTCCATTGTGACTTTGACAAAACATCATGTACAGCTACGAGTGGCTGTTGATATTGATATTTCCTGGTGTACAGGTGGGAATATTTGGCCTGGTGGAGGCGGTAGAGGATAGATCTGACACCTCATTTCTCCCTGCTTCTTCACAGATTTTATGCTGCTGAAATCTGTATCGCTCTGAACTTCCTACATGAAAAGGGCATCATCTATCGCGATCTGAAGCTGGACAACGTTCTCTTGGACCATGAGGGACACATCAAGCTCACAGACTACGGCATGTGCAAGGTAAGAGATAGATTGATTTTTCCAGTAGACTGTGGACTGCTGGCGTAGGGTTATCAATAATGCAGTACATCAGAATCGACTGGAAGTATTAACAGTGCCTTTGTTTTTTTTTTTTTTCCACCATTCATGTTCTTGTACTCATCATATCTTCCACACTCTTCCATCTCTGCAACTGCTATTCTCTCCCTTGCACTTGTTTCCTTTTCTTCTTCTTCTACCCAGGAAGGGATCAGACCAGGTGACACCACCAGTACTTTCTGTGGAACTCCCAACTACATCGCACCTGAGATCCTCAGAGGAGAGGATTACGGTGAGCACAGGAGTCGTACCGGAAGGGATCAGTTCATGTCTAAACACTGATGCCAACCACCATATCTTTGGTTTAAGGGTTCCCAATAGTCAAAAGATTCATGAAAAAACAAAGACTGGGCTTTGGTGGGCCAAGATGCAAAGCAGCACACATTCACGCAGACAATCTCCAACAATGACCAGCCTGAGTTTGTGATTTATTCTGGTGTGATGGGAGAAGTTTGGGAAGAAGTCCTTCCAAATGTCTTTTCATGCCACACACTCATCTGAATAAATATCTGAATGTCTTTTCGTTCCCACCCTCTCAGGCTTCAGTGTGGACTGGTGGGCTCTGGGTGTGCTGATGTTTGAGATGATGGCTGGGAGGTCTCCATTTGACATCATCACTGACAATCCTGACATGAACACAGAGGAGTACCTCTTTCAAGGTGAGAGAGAGGAATTTAATTCTTTTTCTTTTTAGTGAACAATTTTGCATGTGGTTTACCAACAAGTAGCTGTCTGCATTGTTCTGTCTCATAAAAGAAACATTACCAAAACCGTATGTTTCATGAAGCTATCAGGGGTTTGAAACAAGTGACCACATAGAAAAGGTTATTTTTTTGGCGTAGAAGGAATGTCCTTTTTTGATTTTGTAAGCATCTGCCCAGTGGAAATTGAAAATTTCAATTACCTGCGAGTGTCCTCCACAGGAAAGGTCAACTTGGCTAGCAAAATGTTTTTCAAAAGGTTGAATCATATAGAGACCACAGATTTAAAAGACCACTCTTTAAGCGTACAAAGGAACTATTTACAAAGGAAATGTTGACCTGATGATGTCAGATGAACTATTAGAGGGTCACCACATCATAGTCATCCTCAGGGCACCTTAAGTACCAAATCCCATAGCAAACCTTGCTCTGAACCAGTATTGGGCTGACAAATAGACTGATCGACCAACATGCAGGCATTGCTAACCTTAGGCCATTCTGCTAGCAAGGCAAACAAGGTGTTACATCCACACAAGAAGCTTTGTGACTTTGTATTCAGGGCTAAACACTAACATCAGAAATGTTCACATGCTGATGTTTAGCAGGTACAGTATAATGTTTACCATGTTCACCATCTTAGTCAGCATGCTAACATTTGCTAGTTAGCTCTTAAGACAAAGTGAAGCTGAGGCTGATGGGACTGTAATAACTTTTTGCAGCTATTTGATGACACGCTTCATCCAAAAGCGACATGAATGTTCATCAGATTTCATGGCAACACATCAAATAGTTGTTGAGACATTTAACCCTTAACTAAAAAAAAAAACATTAACCTGCTGGTGGCGCTAGTGTCTCATGAGTCATTAGAGTTCATCCTCTGGGGGGAAATCCATCCAATATCTGTCAAGATATTTCACTTTGAACAACAGTGGTGGATTGACCAACTGAATGTCATGGCCATAACACTTATGTGAATGCTTTCTAAAAAATGTAAAGACAAGAAACAGTAAATACTTTAATCATTCTAAATGTTGAAAGTTGTCAGTGACTGTAGTTCTGACGATAGGTAGTAACTAAAAGCACATTTTCACTTTTAAAAGAGCTTTTTATTGAGAAAATTCCTGCCGACAGTTTCTTTTTAATCCTCTCTTCATGTTGTCCTACATCTGTCCCTGTTCCTTCAGCAAGAATGAACCCAGCTCCTAACTCCATTCTCTATGGTTAAAGGGATTGGGAGTATAGAGGAGTAGTGGGAAATCAAATATGAATATTGAGCGCACATGGCAGGCTGGTGCCATTTAAACAAACGCATGTTAATTTAACCCTTTGTGACACATAACTGATATTCTGAGAGTAGGTAAAATAGACTCCATGTAATGGAATAACAATCAGCTCCAGGCTGTAAAGGATTTATGTCTGTGTAAATCCAGGCTTAGATGGGTACAGTATGCTTCATTAAAATGGAAGAATCTCAGAAAGCAGGGCTAATTTTATTTCTCTCAAATGTTAATTTGTTTTAGTTAGTTTACTTGTTCATACAAGACATTGTCATATATCACATTAGTGAGTATAAAGCCTGGTAAGGGAATTAACAGCTGGAGAACATACATTTCCTGTTGATAAAAATGTTTTTCCTGTGTTATTTTCCTTTTTTCTTTTTGTAAATTCACAAATCTCCACCTTATTTCCTCATTGGAAATCCAGTTTAGTGATTTGTGTGGCGCAAATTCATTTGACAGATCACATAGTCAGAGAAAATTCTACTAATTAAACTCTTCAAAGCCCATTAGATGAGTGAAAATATGCACAGTGACCTGGCTAAAAACCATTCTGGTTTTAATGTCTTAAAGCATGACGAGACTGTGACAGCTGGCTGTATCTCCATGGAACTTATTAACTAAAAATTGAAATTATGCTGTTACAGTTTGTTTTGTGTGAGAAATGGGTTAATATTTGAGAACTCATGTAATGATGTGCTGCTGCTTACACATGCTGTAATGTCTGCTCCCCCACCCCTCATGAACTGTGGAAAATCTGGCAGTACATCACGGCCTCTCTTACAGATGAGATTTAGGATGCATGAGAGGAACAGTTCAGCATTTCTACATTAGTTGGCAGCATAACAGCATTTTCATTTGAACCGGTACGTCGCCAAATTACCACACTGAGGCAGCTGATAACACAGGTCTCTCTGTCCTCCATCAGTCAAACTGCAAAGTAACTGTTAGAATTAGAGTATCAGGAAATATCACCCAGAACTTACTGTTTTATGAGCACATTTCCTGTTGCTGGAACTTTTTATGTGATGATTTTAATAGTATAAGGAGATGGATGTAGACATCTAAAGCCAGCGGTTACTGGTACTTGGAAAGCCTCACATAGCAAAATGAACTGAGGGAGAATGACCTCAGTCTGGACTCATGCTTACATATGGGTATTTTTTTAATGTGCTGCTACATTTTTTGTGAAGCACAGACTGACCTGTTTCTCTTAAATAATCAGTTTCTGTCATTGTTTCTTTCCCCAGCCAAAAAGCCAGTTTTACTGCATGTTCTAATATCTTCTTAATGCAAAGATAATACATTTGTGAGGAGGGGGGACCACTGTGCCATGAAGTTGGGGGGTTGGGTACGGATGGGGTGGTTTCCACAGATGGCTCTGTTTGACAGTTGTGTCTTCAGTAGAAAGTAAATGCAATCAAAACTGTCAATGTTGTGTTCAGTAGAAACCATCCTGCTCATATACACAACCATCTGAAAAAAACAAAAACACATATCATCGACAATAAGACATGTATTATCTTGGCTTGACGCTTGATTGCATGTTCGCCACTTTCATATTTCCCAGCATTAATGTGCATCTCTGCTCCTTGGATTTGCTCCGACTGCTGCACTGGAGCGGCTGTGGCTCAGGAGGTAGATCAGGTTGTCCTCTAATTGTAAAGTCGGTGGTTTGATTCCCGGCTCCTCGGGGCAAGATACTGAACCCTGATTTGCTAATGTATCATCGGTGTGTGAGTGTGTGTGATAGAAAAGACTAGAAAAGCATTATATAAGTACAGTCCATTTGCTTCGTCTAATTCTTCTGTCTGCTCCAGGTGTCAAATGATGAGCAAATTATAATTCTGCAAAATTTACATGTAAATAATTTTTATGGATCTGGGTGTTAGAAAGAAGGCAGCTAAGAAATGACACCCATGCACATTTACTTAATTCTGTAAGATGCTGAAGCAAACATGAATCAGGGTCATTTATGACATTAGTGTGGATGTGTCTTTTTGATTGTGTGTGACAACCTCACAACATCACCGTGACAACCTAAAACACATAAATGAGATGATTTCAAAGTGGCTGTATCCAGTATCTGTCCTACTATTATACATATGTGTTTCCTCAATCCATATGGTAAACATACATAGCTCACCCCCTCACCCACTCCCCCTTCCCTCACACCCACACAGTCCTCCATGACAGACATTCCTCCATACTACAGAAGCCTCGTGTGACGCATAACGTCTCTGCTGTGACTGTCAGGAGCATCGCGTGGCTCCGTGGCTAGCATCTGCCACTAGCACCATCCTCCTGGCGGTCTCACCGGTAGAGCACCAGGTTTCTGGATGAGTGCCTGCCAACGGAAACCAGCCCTGTCGCTATAGGAGCCACCCAGCCATATGCCATCTTGCTAGACCCTGTGCTAAGCCCTGCTTTGGGTATCAGGGCTCCACATGCCAGTCCCAAGGCTTTAGACAGACAGAGAGAGAGAGAGAGAGAGAGACTGGCAAACATAAGATTCAGAGGCGAAACCAGCCACAAGGTTTTAATAACTGAAATATAATGGAAGCAACTGATTTAAACTGTTGCTTTATCAGCTGTCCTTGGTCAGGTTGGTAACAACAGCCACACCAATGGATCGATCAGACCTGGTTAGAATAAACATCAGACTGTCGTCTCACCAGTTTGTACCGTCAGCCAATAGTAATTCAGCTGCGATGACGTAGAGCACCAGAGAGGAGCTTGTTGAGCATCACCACGTTTCTGTTTTGGGTGTAATTTCCCTGAGCGGATGTGTTTTTAATGAGATTAAAGGGACCGAGCAGGTTTAGGTCTCAGAGGTGGGATGGATAAAAATAAAAAGAAGAATTATGTTGAATTACAATTAAGGCTGTTTATTACATTTATATAGTATCCCAGGGCAGGTTAACCATAACTGTACGTTCAGACCAAAAGTGGCGAGAACGTCAAAATCATTCATTTTCTATGTGAGCCAGCGTCTCTTGCCGGCGAGCAGTCTTGAGTGATGGGGGAAAGTTGAAATCCAGGCAACTTTATGGTAACGGGCTGTGACGCGGTTCTGCAGCAACCAATAGCAGTTTAGAAGCGCTCCGCTCTAGACAACAGGAGGGAGGAAATTGCTTGCTAACCAGCACCACAGTGTTGCCAGCTTGATGCGAGTCAGTCGGTAGCGTTAACGTTGCTAATTTAAAAGATTCCTTGCAGTTCTTTGCAGTTAGTTTATACCCTACTTGTGGTCAGATGGCGCAAAGATACCAGCTGACATGTCTGTCTGCTTTAAATACAGTTTGAAGGACCAAGGATTCCAAACAAACTTGCTAGCTGTCTTTTTTTAGCGCCCGGCAATGTACAGTTGGCTTCATCCACATTTAAAATCGTAACATAATCTGTGAACTGGTGTAGCTACATGAGTCGATTACATGGCTGAAGTCTGCAAAACAGCCAATTCAAATAATAATGTTTTAGTTTACATATGAATTGATTTAATCCTGAAAACAACACTTATAGACTACTTACTAGTAGGCTTTGTGGTCACTCGCAGACAGTTTGAGAGATACTAAATTTAAAACATGATATTTTACCAAAGTTACTCGCGGACCACCAGGGGTCGCTCTTTGAGAAGAAGAGAGAGAAGAGACGGCACTAGGTCAGCTTGTTCCTGTCCCCTGCTTCTAAAGCAGTTCTCCTCAAATAAAACGTGAACTAATAGCTTGAATGAAGCTTGTTGTACAGCCTTACATGTTTTTATAATTAATGAACTGAATCTAAACCGTATATTTGACATTTCAGGGTTTGTTCTGGTGTTTTTTGGTGCAACAGCCACTTGTGTTACCCTGAAACGTTTGATGGAAAATAACCACATAGATGTAAGAACACACAGCGGTCACATGGCCATGGACTGAGATTGAAAAAGAGAAACTCTGGTCACCTCAGTGTGAAGCACTAATGTGTGAAGCAACGCTGCATCCTTGGATTTAGGTTTTGAGGGAAAAATGAGTTTTCAGAGTGTTTTTGTTCTCCTTCGTGTGACATTGTTGAGCTGTGGGAGTCTCAAGGTTGTGTGTAGACCATCAAAAGTGAGTGAAAGAACAGAACAGTGTCCTCTGCATCTTCTCCCTCCCTTTGACTCCCACACAGCAGACACGGGCACCCACAGGCAGGTTGGACCGTGAATCATCCTCCTCCCTACTCACGATTGTCCTTTTCATTCTCTCTCTCTCTCCCTCTCTCTCTCTCTCTCTCTTTTTTGTTGCTTTTCTTTCTTCTCTTTTTTGCCAACAGTTATTCTTGAGAAGCCCATTCGCATCCCAAGGTCTCTGTCGGTGAAAGCTGCCAGCGTGCTCAAGGGCTTTCTAAACAAGGTGAGAGCCGTCCACTCCCAATCAGCCTCTCTCTCTCTCTCTCTCTCTCTCTCTGTCTGTTTGCACTTTTGCTCAGTCAAATCATCATGTGTGGGATCATTGCCAAGCCAGGGAAGGCCTCTTTATTTGGCTCAGACTGCCAGAGTCTGTTTATTCCTGTGTTGCAATAGTAAAACTAGTATACAGAGAGAAATACAGAATAAAGTGTAGAAACAATCTGTGGCAGGATTTGCATGTTTCAGCCACACAGTCTGTGCTGCAGCCTCGGGAGCCGAAACTCGCTGTTGATCACTTAATGAAATAGGTTTGAGTTTACGATGAGATGAGTTTAAAAACAGAAGTACGGAAGTGACGATATCAATCTCTAATCGCTGAGATGAGAAAAATTTCAGGACTTTCAGGAATAATTCAACATTTTGGGAAATACTCTTATTTGCCTCCTTTCAAAGAGTGAGATAAAAAGTGTTGTCGGTAAATAGCTAGAGCCAGAATGCAATTAGCCTAGCTTAGCATAGCACTGAGCATAAAAACAAGGAGGTTATCCATCTGCCAGTGCCTATGTGCAACGTCTCCACTGGTTTTCTGACAACATTACTGTTACTCCCACAAGTCACTGTGCCAAAGTAGAAAATAATTTCCAGCATGTAACTGAATTGGTGAGAGGTAGACGTTGTTGTAAGTTTCCCCCCTGCTTCCAGTCTTTATGCTATACTGGGCAAACTACACATCCTGTGTGTACATATCAATTTAGGCATCTCACTCACAGAAAGAAAACAAATAAGCATATTTAACAAAATGCTGAAACAGATTATCTCTAGACAATATTCTCTGTGATGGATGAAATTATCAGTCTGGTGATATTCTGTGTTTTTCTTATAGTCAACAAATCCCATGAAAAGATCAAGACCAACAATGAACTGATCAAACTGTAAAACACTTTGGATAAAAGCACCATGTAAATGCAGGCCATTTACCATCTTATTCCTCTGAAGCTCCACTGTTGTCTCCAAAAACACATCAGTGAGTCACACTGTTGTCACTGGGTGACATGTTCCTCTTTTACCATGAACACACACACACTGTAGTTTATCCTGACTCAAACTCACACACACTTTCCTGCTGCTGCAAATACTCACTAGAGCACCAACTGTGGATTAATCCGCCATTGAAAATAGTCCCCAACGAATGCACTGTTTCCTGTTTGAGTAACGTTGTTAACAGCTGCAGTGTCCAGCTGTTTCAGGAAATTACTGAGGCTTTTTGTTTTGTTTTGTTTTGTTTTTAAATAAAACTATATATTTGTATTTGTGAGGTGTTTTCCCTCTTCAGCAGGAACCAGTGGGATTGGGGCGGAGAGCCTGAGACAGGGTGGAAAACAACAATTAAAAACTCTACATTTCAGCACATTAACTATAACCTGTTAAAACACTGGTGCAACCCTTAAAGAAATGCTATGATCTTTTTAAATATATGTGTTTATAATTAACATGAACACATTTTTTCTGTGTGTTCATTCACAAAACAGTGTGTGTTCATGTATTTCAGCCAGTTTCATGTTTTTGCTACAGGTTCTGATGTGTGTGACATGTTAGTGCAGCTTTGATGCAGGCGGGTATTTCTTCTTTTATTCAGATAGCCCTGTGGCTTTTCTCATGCACTTAGCTTCTGTAAGTCATCACCATAATTGTTGTGATTAAAAAAGCAGAGTGCAAGTGAAGCAGTTAGAGGGGGTAACACATGCAGCGCAGGAAGAAACATGTGGAGCCAACATTATCACTAATTGTCCACATGTATTGATCTTTTTAATTGTACATGTGAACAGGGCAGTTGCTTCATTCTCTGAGGAGCTGTGGAACATCTGAAATATAATAAGCTTTTATTACTGTCCATATGAAGTAGAATCAACCTGCACTGTCTACACCTACATGCCAAATTACAAGAATAATTTCACGTTGTTTGGAAAATGCAGTTGATTCTGTTAATGTTCCTGACCAGCTGTCTTGGTTCCAACAGGATCCCAAGGAGCGGCTGGGCTGCCAGGTCCAGACAGGCTTCACAGATATCAAGTCACATACATTTTTCCGCAGTATAGACTGGGACCAGGTAAGAGCTGACTGAGGACAGGAAAAAACATCCTGCTCTGGTTCATTCACTTGTGTGTTTCTTCTATAATCTTTCAAAATATCCAAAAACTTTTATATGTAGAAGTATATTGATGACACAGACATAGTAGATGGTCTGATATGACAACAACCGTTTGCTACAAAATATGATCCTTAAACAAAAACACATCATCCCAACACTCAGCCAGTGTTAAGTTTGTCGACAAAAACCATGAGAAAATGTTTTTTTTTCAATGACAAAAACAAGATGAAAACTAAATCAGAAATAACCTTAATTAAAACAACAAAGGAATTCCTTTCAGTTTTAGTCAGTAAATTAAAAAATGCAAAATCTCATTCAATGACCTCCGCCGTCTGTGAACTGATACACTGTGCTCCTGAATGTTAAAACAGGATCCCCGTTCCCCCGTCTCTGTCAGAATGAATCACCTACATTTTACACTCCCCGAGCGCTTTATTAGAAACAGCTGCACACCTGCTTATTCATGCCATTATCCAATCATGTGGCAGCAGTTCAATACATAAACACCTGAAGATCCAGGTCAGGAGCTTCGGTTCATGTTCACATCAAACATCAGCATGAGGAAAATGTGATTTCAGTGACTTTGACCGTAGCATGATTGTTGGTGTCAGACAGGCAGGTTTGAGTATTTTTGGGGATTTTCACACCCCTCGAGTTTTTACTCTGAAAGGAGCAGAAAACAAAAACCAACCAGTGAGCAGCAGCTCAGTGGAAGTAACACCTTGTTGATGAGAGAGGTCAGAGGAGAATGGACTGACTGGCTGGAGCTGAGAGAAAGGCTCCCATAACCACTCTTTACAACTGTGGTGAGCAAAGTCCCACTTTGAGGTGGATGAGCTACAGCAGCAGAAGACCACGTCAGCTTCCACTGCTGGCAGCCAAGAATAGAAATCTGAGGCTGCAGCGGACACAGACTCACCAACACTGGACAGTTGAAGACCGGAAAAACATACTCTGGTCCGATGAATCAGGATTTCTGCTGAGGCAGCAGATGGTAGAGCATGAACCCATGAACCCAACCTGCCTTATGTCATCTGTCCAGGTTGGTGGCGGTGTAATGGTGTGGGGAATGTTTTCTTAACACACTTTGGGCCCTTAATACCAATCAGTGACGGTTTGAAAACCACAGTCTATCTGAGTATTGTTGAGGACCATCCCTCTTTGGCCACAGTTTACCATTTGCTAATGGCTACTTCCAGCAGGATAATGCTCCATGTCACAAAGCAAACGTCATCTCAAACTTGAACTTCAGTGGCCTCCCCAGTCTCCAGATCTGAATCAAGTAGAACATCTTTGTTCATTCATATCGTGGATTGTGATTCTTCTTTTTGCCAGATCACCCATCACTAGCTTGAATTATCTTCTGAGTAAAAAGAACCAGTGGGAAAGGCACTACCAACTCATGAACCGATTAACTGGAATAAACCAAACATAGGTTTGAAAATACCTCAAAAAGAAACAAGATGAAAGAATGCAGTTGCCACTTCCAGAGTATTAGAGGATTAAAGCATCGATGGTTGAAGGGACAGCTATGGCGTGATATGACATCCCTATTGTCTCATGACTCATTTCATATGGATAAACTACGAGGTGGAAGGTGATCCGCCACATGTTCCACTTACACTTCCAGAATACAGTTCTTCATCGGTGAGATCCGGGTGAGCGTTGCTTCATGACAGACAGCGGCTGACAGGCGATCTGGGGTTTGACTCTTACAACCTGTCAGTTCGTTTAGAACTAATGTAACAACAACAGACACAGAATAAACACGGCACGCCCACATCTGATGCCAATCAGCTCCGAGAACACTGCACAGCTGTCATTCTATATTGTGAACTGCCTTTGTCAGGCTTGATCGTATGTGTCTGCTGTAAACTTCAAGAGCCTCAGCAACACACACAACACACCCTCCTATTTACGATTTGAGCAGGCACATGAGCGAGGTGGAGCCCTTTGTGTTTGCGTTTGTCTATGCGTTAAAAAATGGATGATATAGTTATAGACATTGTGCGTAGACTACTGCTGCATGCAGTGAAGTACCCCCACCCCCCACCCCCCTTCTGTGGAGCTGCAAGGCAAATTAAAGTGAATTTCTAATCACACGCACACATTTTCACATCAACTGAAGCATTGGAAGTGAATGTGTGTGTGTGTGTGTGTGTGTTGAGGTTGACGCACAAAATTATTTGAAACCGAGATGAAAGAAGGATACAAGCCGTACAATATTAAGGGTCTTTACGGTACCAAACTATACTCAGTTGGCAGTTCATTAGGAACACCTAGCTAAGACGAGTGTATTCTAATCCAATAGTCCTATAAATAAATTCTCTTTCAGCTGTTTCAGAGAGGTGTTGATTCAACGTAATGGTCATTTTGAAGGTTTTAATGTTGTGGCTGATCAATGTACAGTATATAGTTTTGAAAGAGTTCATTCTGACCCATCGTACTGTGATTTAATTCTTTCAATACTTACTTTTTAGTTAAAATTATTTTCCTGGCTTTTAAGAAGAAAAATTCACCTATAAGCCACAACAGTAAAAATCCCACTGGCTTTTTGTGGAGGGAACCAGGGCGACACAACTTCCTGGCTGGCCTACAAAAATATTATCATCCCTGTATTATCATTTAAATGTAAAGTAATTATTATATTAACTGTTGGAGTTGGGTTTTTTTCAGATAATATAATCAAATTATGGTTGCATCTATTCCTCTGGCATTGTTTATTGTATTGGTAAATATTAATATTAGAAATATAATTTACAGCTGTGATGCTAATTTATGTATTTTAATCCATAAAAAATAGAATTCAAATAGAGCTCTTTTTTTCTGAATTCTAATTAAAATTTTCCCAATATGAAAATTGCTTCGTTGTTGAAACTGCACCATTAATATGTAACTTCATCAGACATTAGTGCAAATGCTAATTTAAGATTAATTAAGGCCATTTTTATGTCCTCATTGTTGCCATGTCCCTCATGGGACAATTAGGTGAGATAGCAGGTAGTATAGTGGTATAAAAGAGGAGGAAAACAATTGTCAGAGTTTGTTAATGAGTGCTGCCACTGCGCCTGTGAAGTACACACCAAAGGCAAACTGGGGAAAGATATCAAAGCAAAGAGAAATCCTGAGCCCAGCGACAAAGCTCCCATGTTGCGCAGAGGGAAAACAAGTTGACAAAGCTGTGAGAGGTGGAGAAGCGACGCTCTCTGCCCTCAAACTAGAAACCTGTCTCCAGACCTGACAGGCCTGGCATGCCGCTACTGTTGTTACCACGTATTAATATTCATCAGACAGTTCCTGAGGGAGCGTCGAGTTTTCTCTCTGAAGAGATGACACATTTGAATATCATTTACCTGCTGTCCTCTTTTATTCTCTCTCCAAATGCACAGTTCTTTACTGCCAGAGAACTGTCAGGTTGATGAACATGGAGAAGAAGTCGATCATTTGGAAACGAGTAGTACTGATTTCACTATTATTAATTATTTTTCACTGAAGCTCAGATCTCGATTGGGCGGGAAACCCATATATCCATGTTGTGGATCATGTTGTTGAACAGCAGAAAGTTTTCTCCTCCACAGCACAGTTGTATTCGTGTCGTGTGACTGATTTGAGCTTCGTATTTGAAGTGTGCAGGCTAACTTCTTGTGTTTACTGGATGTGGCCGTGTCATGTTCCAGCTGTGTCCTGGTTGTGCCGACGTCCACCAGATGTGTGGCCGCAGCATCTCACTCGGGTTCTTTTCAATTCAAAGGTGCTTTATTGACAGTTTCAGAAAAACAATATTACCAAAGCATCAAAATACAATTTCCAAAAGTACAAAATACAAAATGCAGCAAACACCAAGATCGATATAAATGTGTATATTAATTACATATTTACAGTCTATTATTTGTGTGTGTGTCCCTCAAGTCATTGAAATTTGGGATTACAGACCTGAATTGGTTCAAGTGAATGTTCCTTATTTCTTTGAATATTTTACGTTTTAGGAGGAAGTGTATCTCTGTGTCAACTTCACCTGTCGAACAGTGACCACATGTTCTGTTTTCTTTGGTTTGCCATGATTTTTTAAATGTTTTTTTTTTTTCTTTTCTCTGCCGCTATCACACGTCAGGTTTATTTTAGCTTGTGAAGTTTGCATCTCTCCAGAGTGAGAGAAGAGAGAACTCACTTCTGCACGTATGGAAAAGCCAGTACTTGTTACACCATGGAACACACTGCCCTACGCAGCCAGTTTGTTCCCGGCCTAATACTGTTTCATGCTTTTGAACTTTTTCATGAATCTCGAGCACGTTATATAAACTTGTTTGCATATTGCTTGCCTTTTAATTTAATTGCTCTTGTATAGTTTCTATTTTTAAGAATAAGTTTTTTACTTCCTCTGTTTATCTGTGCTCATATCTGTCCTGTGCTGCTGGAGCCCCTGAATTTCTTTCAGTGCGAGCACACATTTTTCTGGTTGGTAATCTGCCTGAACTGCTGCTTTTTTACAACCTAGTCTGATTGTCTGGCTGCTCGTGTTTCTTGCTCCGTCTCACTTCGTTGTCACAGCGTCACCGTGTTTCCGTATCCCAGCAATCACATAACCTGTTCACACAGCACCAGGTTTGATTCCAGCTGTCTGTTTGTCCACTGAAGCTCGCTGCGTACGTAAACATCAGCGTGTTTCTTTGTGAGGCATTCACTGTCCGACAGCAGAAGAAGCGGCAGTTGCAGTGCGGGTAGTTGGCCTCTCTGATGTTGATCTCCTTGTTCTTATGGAGATGTGCTTCTAAACCCACAACGTGGAGACAAAGAGAAAGCACAGTATGTGTGATTAAGTGATATAGTGTGAGTGTGTATGTAAGTGTGTGATGTATGGCTCCACATCTGTTGACTGTGGTACGTCTCCAGTCACATTAACGCAGGCCTCAGATCAGGCTGACTGTCACAGCGTCCAATCCTGTCCTGAAAGCACTGATGCCACTGGAATGCACACACACACACACACACACACACACGCACACATACTCTGACAGGTGCTGTGATCTGAGAACCCATGGCTCTCCTGTATAGCCCTGGCGCCTCACTTACCTCTTTCATGTGCCCCTCTGGCCTCAGGGGTACTTCCCGTGTGTGTGTGTGTGTGTACGCGCGTGTGTGTAAAGGTGCCGGGCTCGTTTCTGGCCTTCAGTGCACTTCATTACCACCACACAGAGCTTCAGCCTGCCCAACAACACATCAGAGAGACTGGGGAAAGTAGGAGGAGAGAGGAGAGGGATGTGAAAAAGATAAAAGAATTGACAATGAGTAAGACAGAGACAAACGGAGAGGAGGAAGATGGAGACAGGATGTGAGGGGGTGAAACTGACAGAGGAGTGTAGGTAGGCACTGAAAAAGTTGAAAAAGAAATTAGCAAACAGAAAGAGAGAGAGAGAGAGAGTTTGGGGGAAGGTGGGCCAATTTGGTGATGAGGGAATGAGACGAAGAGATACAAAGGGAAAAAGTGAGTTGTTTGTGTTGTTTGTTTATTTGAAGCTGTTCTCACAAAGAGCTTTGAACCAATAACACTAATGAAGCAGAAGAACTGCCGCAAAAACCAGCAGGAGAACCAGGAGCTTTGTAGGACCTAAGCACACACACACACACACACACACACACACACACGCACACACACACACACACACACAATCAGGAAACAGCTGGCTAACGAAAAAAACACAAGTGGTGTGTGTAATAGATTTCTCAACAGTGTTCACACCTAAACAACAAAACAGGTTGTTTGTCAAAGCCTTTCAAAATAAACGGCCTGAACATTTGATTCATATAAACATTTTCTCATTAATCTGCCACCTCTATGTTTAAAGGGGCTATTTGTACGTTCTCTCTCCCCTGAATCTGAATTCTTGTCAGGTGGGTGGTGGTAATGGTCGTTTGCCAACAGTTTCAGCCATCACAGCGTTTGGTGGTCCTTCCCCCTGCTCTCTCTCTCTCTCTCTCTCTCTCTCTCTCTCTCTTTCTTTCTCAACCCAACCGGTCGAGGCAGATGGTCGCCCACTCTGAGTTCGGTTCTGCTCGAGGTTTTTGCCTCTTAAAAGGACATTTTTCTTTGCCACTGCTGCCAAGTGTTTGCTGATGGTGGGGAACTGTTGGGTTTCTGAATCAATATTCTAAAGAGTACGGCCTAGACATGCTCTATATGAAAAGTGCCTTGAGATAACTTATGTGGTGAATGTAAATAAAATTGACTTGAGTTGTTTACAATACAAGAGGGCGCAGCGCTCAGAGGGCGTATTATACAGTGACTCAGTATCAGAAAGTCGAGCTAGCCTGGCTGGAGCTAGCTGGTTAGCATGCTAATTTTAGTAGAAGAAAAGAAGCCATAGAAATAGAAGCAAATCAAGAGCTAACATTAGCGTTGTTTCCAGCCACTGGAGACAGCTCTTGGTGAGTAAAGGAATGAAGTTTGATGCAGAACTCACAAGGTTTCACGGTTCTCTTGGTGTGTCTCAAAATCGGATCATGTGTCCTCCTCCAAAACATGCATCTCTACCCTTCCACTACGTAGCCAAGATGGCGACTGTTGAGGATGAGATTGGAGTGTGTCATCTGGGTACTTCTAGTGCACTGCATGTTGCCATACTTGTCAATGTGAACATACTAATGCTCTAAGTAAGTGTAAGTATGGAAGTATATGAATTGAGACACAGCATCTGACTCAACTGTTGGCGGTCAAGATGCATTGTGGGTAATGTGGGTGCGAGGTTTTGACAAGGAAGAAAAAAAAGGGGAATAAAAAAGCCAATTCCACCTTATATTGAAAACGTTTTGCTATTATTACTTCATATTATTATATTTCTCCATTCTTAGCATCTTAAAATTACCATATTATTCACATACAAAATATAACTCCATGTTTGCCTTGTTTTAACAAAACAAAAAAAAAATTTTTGTGTCTGCACTGTGAATGGTGTGATGACGAAGATGACTATTACCATATAAACCATAACATATTGATCCTAAGTACTGTCGATCATTATTTTCAGCCGTTTTCAACAGAGAAGAAAAGGTTTGACAAGCGCACGAGAGCAGACACACAAACATGAAGCTTCTGTCTTATTTGTGGGCAGGCTACTCACACACATACACACATACACACATACACACATACACACACACACACACACACACACACACACACACACACACACACACACACACACACATACACACACACACATACACACACAACTATTACTGTTGACATCTTCTAAATAATTTCACTATAATGGAACATTGGGATTTCAGCACGTACATACCTGTATGTATGTATGGATCCTGGTTTTGCTATTCTATTATTAAATGGAGAATTTTAATATCTTTTCTCCAGATTCTGGAGGAATCACTAAACAGTTTTATATACATGACACACACAATCAGACAGCACACGGATCAGCTATCAAAAACAATATTGATTTAGCTCTATTTTAAGCTTCCTCTGAGCTACTGCTACTACTAAAGTAGCACATTCTTAGATTGAGGAAACATCATGGAGAGCAGAGCTGTGTACCTGTGGTCTTTCTGTGCCCATCTGACTTCATTGTGTTCTCAGAAAATGTCCTCAGTGCACATTTTAACAGGATGAGGGACCGATGTGAAACCATGGAAACAAACCAGACAAAAACTCTCCTGGCTGAATCACTCGGGCACAATTATTCTGCTGCCTCAACCCTTTCCATTCTGTTGTTTTTCTCTCCACTCCCCAGTCCTGTCTGTCTTCGTTGCCACCGAGAAACACAGCAACAAGGTGCTCATCTCTTACCGTAGCAGATAGGAGCATATGGAGAAGAGCCACAGTGCCTGATGTACTGTATATCACATTGTTTGTTATGGACTCACTGTGTGTGAGGTTCCCTTCCTTTCCTTACGGTTAGTAGGTCAGATGAGTCAATAACAACATTTATCAAATTAAACATTTGACATTTGTCTCAGAGTACCAAGAGCAACAATGTGTTAGTCTCTCTCTCTCTCTCTCTCTCTCTCAGTACTTCTAAGGGAAGACGTAAATCTTTTTGCATTTTTAAAGAAGGTTAAGTCATTTCCTACAACAGCTGGGCACTGTAGTTTTCAATTAAGGTGCATTTGTTGGGGGCTGTTTTCAGCGGTTCTTTCTGATGGCAGGATAGTTTGGCCTGTTTTCAAACCACACCCCTCACCCTCAACCTACCCAATGCCACTTTGTTTGCATGTTTGCATGGAAGGCCCACCACATGAAGTGCCAACTCAAACCAAATAACGGGGGGTGGAAGTGGGTTACGAAACCCTCCAATAGCGACTGTATGTCAATGCTGATGATTGTGTTTATCATGGAAGACGCGCTGCACAAATGTTAGTTCCGTGCGACCATGTGTACAAGCATTTAGTCGTAAACTGCGCAAACTAAGATAAATAGATTTAATATTGTCATACAGACGTTCACAACTTGAAGATTACATTGTATTTAGGATCAAATTTAACAAATCAAATTCTTTGTCCAGAGAACGTAACGTCTGTAAAATGTGATCATGTTGTGTATTTACAGGGACTGTTGCAAGATCCAAGCAGCTTATAAACATCAAAGTAAAAAAAAAAATCTGTTTACAAAAAAGAAGGAAATGCTCCAAAGAAGCTGGGGAGTAAGTTTTATTTGGGAGTAACAAGAAAATCAGTTGCCTGTAATTGTAAAAAAAAGTTTACAGACTTTGGAGCGTATGATGTTTTTTTATACATGATCTCCGTTCTCCCTCACTGAGTAAAAACAGTTGTTATACACAATATATTTGATGTGTTTGTTTTTCCTCAGCTGGAGAAGAAAGAGGTGACGCCACCCTTCAAACCTCAAATCTCTGATGACTACGGCCTCGAAAACTTCGACACGCAGTTTACTAATGAACCAGTGCAGCTAACGCCAGATGATGAGTGAGTACAGCTTCTCCAGTCACATCACTGCCATCTAAAGTCAACTTTATGTGAATGATTTAGAGCCCTCTTCCCTCTTTCACATGTGTGTTAGTCAAGAGAAAGATACACACTTATATATGATGATCTGTTTGCTGAAGTTATTTCACATGAATATTACTATTATACTCACTGTACTGACAAATTTACCGGCCTAATTTCCATTCAACACCTGCTGAGTCATCAGCTCCTGCAGTCTCACTGCTGTGTTCGTCCCATGTTATAGAAAAGAGAGGGGCCAGCTAGTGTCAGCGGTCTCTGTGTCATGGGTCCAGATGTGGTGATGGTCTTGTAACCTCAGCACTCTGAGCAGATGGGGCTGAGCAATGAGCAACAGTAAACAGCTAAGTCTACAGTGGTGTAAATATAACTGTCTGGGATCTTGACATTGAATTGATCCAGTCCTCAGCCACACACACATTGCACAAACCATATTACAGCACTGACATCGTTAGTCTATCCCAAAAGTTTACACCCAGTAGAATAAAAATAATGATGCCATCACTGCATCAAAATAGACAAAAAGACATTGATTTCTTTGCAAGAATACATTTCAATTTGACCTCTGTTCATTTCTTTTCCTGCTTTCTTCAGTACTGTCTTCTATACTGAACAAAAATATAAACGCAGCACTTCCACATTGTACAAAGGAGATGTGTTGCACTGCATGAGACAATTGACGGTCACACGTTTCCTGATCCACGACCCTCCCTCCAAAAGTGCAGATCTGTAGCAGGTCATGTGAAATCCACAGCTCAGTGCCTAATAAATTACTTTTTTCAAAAATAAAACTGCACATTTTAAAGTGGCCTTTTGTTGTGACCAGCCCAGGGCACACCTGTGCTGTAATCATGCTCTGTAATCAGTATCATGATATGCCACACCTGTCAAGTGGATGGATGATCTTGGCTCACTAACACATTTAAACACACCTGTGAAGAAAACGTGTCTCAGAAAAGTCTTAGATCTTTCATTTCACCTCATGAAAAATGGGATCAAAAACAAGTGCAACAAGTGTTGCATTGATATTTTTGTTCAGTGTATTTTCTGCCTTGCAAATTAAATCTTCTCTTTTGAATTGTGTCAGAATCAGTGAATAAAACAGAGCATCAGACTGCAACAAGACATGAATGATTATACTTGGCAGGTGTTAAAGGTGTACATGTGATCAGTAGATCCTGTCATGATCAAACCGAGTGCGAAAAAGAACATTTTCACACAAACAGTGGGTAATGTGCCATCTTCCCAGAAGACTTCTGCATCCAATAAAGAAGAACAAACCCCACCCCCCCCTGCGAGTTCCCAACATTGACGTCTTTATCCATCAGGGACATTGTTTTGATTAATGCAAACATGTAGCTTTCAGGATCTGACAGGAGCCCTCGTTTAAGAGAGAAGGCTGAAGAGATCTGGCACAACAACAGACACAGCGCAGGCTCCGCTGCTGCAGACCGTCTGCATCCGCTGCACGAAAACACAAGCGCAGCCTGTTTTCTCTTTGTGCCGTCACAAAATGGATTCCATAAGGCTTTAGTAGGCCCTGCCAATAGATATTACCGGGCCCATGTTAGACAACATTTTCATTTAAATCCATGCTGGATTGATTTTTCAGGCTCCAACATTTATATTTTTCCTGCAAAGCTTTTATTGGACTGATTTTAGCCTCCCAACAGCCACACTGCTCAAAAGAAGCTAAACTGAAAATGAAGTACAACATGCACCTCCCCACTTAAAAGGAATCTGGACCCTTATTAACATTTAGTAATAAGGTTATTAAAAAGGATTGTAGCCAATCATCCTCAATAAAGTCTTATACATGGGAAAATATGGAATGATAATTTACTCCATAAGACAAGAGGTAAGAACCTGGTTATTAAAAACCTGATTATATTCTTCATCATTTTCATCAATGAAAGATCATGTACAGGCCACTGGAGGAAAACCGTAGATTGTAAATGGATGGATGTAGCTTCCATGATGTCACCTACATGTTTCTGAGGAGTAGTTTTGAAGCTCAAAGTCGGCTGCCCTGCTGTTGCCATCTTGGCACTGCTTGACTCAACCTAACTCCCAGCTATTCCAAAAATGGGCAAAGAAGTGGGGCATGTGTGGAGCTGACACTCCAGTTTGTGGCAAGCATACACTCACCGACCTGTCACTCAGAGCGGCCACGCCCTCAATTATGCATAACTACAAGTTCCCTCGCCCATGGATACACTGAAGCAATCTCTGTCTGTCAGCTGACCAGATGAGTGTCTCATCTGAGTGCAGCAGCACAGCTTGAAGGATTCAGTGAACATGGAAAAAAACCTTGGTCATATGACATGTGATCTGACTGCACCTGAAGGCAAAAGTGTTTGTACCTGATTTGATTGTCCACACTGGGCAGGGCTTCACTCCAAGAACCTGGTCTCTTTAGTCTCAACATGATTATACAGTTTTCCCTGAGAGTGTTCAGTGTTGCACTTGATTGTGAACAAGTATAAAAACAGACAACATGAGAGAGAAGTCCAATCTGCCTTACCTTTGCTTCTTGGCCGGTTGTAAGGTGAGCATGATTGAGTGTTGGACGATCTGACAAGCACTTAGTTGCAGCATAATGAAGACTTAAGATCCAGACAGGGTTAGGGTATGTATCACAGCGGATCTCTCCACAGGAGAACAATAGATCATGCTGAGGCGAAGCAGTTCTGCTGCTCACAGCCTTGTTGTTAGCGTTAACGTTACCACCTCTCACTCTGGACTTCAACTCGAGCAGAGTTAGGATTCTCTCCAAAATAAAATGTGACATTCAAGCTGTCGGTGGTATCATCACCATCAGTTCAGTACTCCACCAGCTGGGTGAAGACTGACAGAGGCACCATCGTGGCTTTCCCCTGCATGTGCGACTCATGAACATGTGCAGCAATAACTACACCATTATGAAATGGCAGGGCACGGAGCCACAGGAGCTCCGTGGTGTTAATTGGAGCCTTATTAAATGCCCATCATGCTCTGCACCCATGACAGATGTCTTTGGGAAGCTACCGTGGCTCTCCCTCCATGTGAAGGTGTTGCTCACTAGATGCTGATCTTCAAACCAGCCTCGGAGTGGGTGAGACTCGCAGCTCATTAAGGGGCTGCAGCGAGATGGCTCTGAAGCTCATACCAGCTCATTTGTGACATGGTTTAACAACGGGAGTTCCTGACAGACTTTTGGGGAGGCAGTTGTGGAGGAGTTTGGGTTTTACACTGAAAGGAGAGAGGAGGCGAGTGGGAGAATGGGGTGGGGAGCACAATGCCAGTTCAGTAGTGGAGATATCAACCTGGCATCAAACACCACGGCACATCAAAAGAAGACGCACGCCTCCTCCCTTCGTCTCGCACTTTATCTCCCCATCCCTTTCTTTTCCCTCTGTTACCAAGGAGAGGGGCTGACGTCGCCCACTCCCGCTAGGAGGAGGTGATGCAAAAAAGCTCTCCAGTCTCCCCTCTCTCCCACTCGTGATGGGCTTGGCACAAGAAGAAAGAGAAGTGAGAGTCGTGTAGGGAGAGAGAAGGGTAAACCCTCCGTGTTAGAGATTTACATTGCAACATTAAAAGCCAGGATTGCTGGGGGCCATTGCCAGCGTGGTGAGTGGAGAGGGAGGGGGAGGCTTTAGTTTTGCTATGCCAGCTCCCTGTCTTAGAAAATGGCAGCCTCAGCCAGGGCCTTGGGAATCATATTTTAGTCCTCTCTAGCCTTGGTCCTTGATGGTTGTTTCAGGGGCTTGAATTTGATGGTTAGGACCACAACACCGCTCTAGTCTTTCCAATGAACCTGTTGCTCATTTTAGCAGCATAGATCCTGTAATTTGGGTCATCAATTCATTGATGAACCAATTTATTTTCTTCTTTTTTCTTTCCAACAAAAAACAGTCTACAGGTCAGAAACCGTAAGTCTTGGTGGTTTTGGTCAGGTGGTTTTCTACACTGTTCATTTATGGCACCAGATTTTGATTTAATCTTCATCTTTTGACAAAATATCCATGTCCATCTGCTCTGTAGTAGCACAACACACAGACTGTCTTCAGTAAATCCAGTTATCTTTACGAGCATTGCCATTGCTCACTTGTTTGATAAACTATTGCTAAGTGTCTCGGTTGGTCTTCTGTGTAGCTCCGCCCAGCTGCTTCCTGATTACTCCTTCATGAGGTTCACCTGTCCTGGGCAGGAAGTGCTGGTGTAGCAACAGAAGCCACAGGCTTCTAGCATGGGGACTGCTGCTCTTGCTGCCTCTCAGTCTGGGGTTATTTTGTTTGTATTTTGTTTCCTTCATAGTCTTTAATGTCCTGGTTGTTATGTACAGTATATTTTTATTAATTGACTCTTTGGACTTGGTTGTGTTAGATGAATCCTCTGTGGTTGATTTGGTTCACTGGGGGAGTGTTGTGCGCCCCACAGGGCCTCCCAAGGGTGGGCCAAAACATGGAGATCACAGTTTTAACTGTATGGAACCCCTGCCTCACAAAAGTGTTGGTTTCTTAGTTTAATATTGGTACAAAGTGTTAGTTCTTTTCAAAAACCAGTTGAAATGCTCTTCAGGTATCCTCATGTTTTTCAGCCTGATGCTTGTTCTGTCTCTCCCACTTCATTCCCTCCTCCTCTGTCCCTTCCTCGTTCTTTCCTCTTCATTCTGCATCTGGTAATGCTTTCAAGTTGTCCAAGCCCAGGAAAAAAAAAAAAAGAAGCAACATTTACGTTGGTTGAACACACTGTTTGTTTTGGTCACCTCCCAAACCTTCTCTCCTCTCTTTTATGTGTCCCTCTCTGTGGTCTCTCTCTCTCTGCCTCTCTATACTCTCCGAAACTCCAAAATAGAAAAAACACCATTTTCTAAATGTAATTGTTGTATTGGTGGTTGACCTGTTCCGACAGTGAGAGCACTTCACATGAGATCAGATGGAGGAGAAAGATTCGCTTCATCAGTATGCTGGTCGGCAAACTGACGGTGTACCATTTTATTCACTTGTAACGGCGCTCTATGTGGGTGGGATCTGCAACCTGTTAGACACTGCTGGTGGCCCCTAAAGTGAGACCCCCACCCACCTGGTACAGCAGGGGAAAGTCCAGTGAACACACCTATTGTTTTAACTTCAAAGCCCTCTGCTCAGTGTCTGCAGGGAGAAAGCCTCTCAGCCTTTCCCAGCGAGAGGCCTCCTTTTTGGGCTTCAGTTCCTCATCACACACACACACACACACACACACACACACACACACACAGAGCGAGAGAGAGACAGATGAGTAAACAGCCTGTTGCTGCAGGAGAAGCAGCCAGCAGTGTTGCTAAGGGAGTACATTTATTTTTACCCAGCCACTCTGAGCCCACTAGTTATGGGGTTCCGCTCCATTTACCTGTGATTATACATTTTGTCAATGGAAGCAGCATAGTCAGGAAACAAAAAAGCAGTTTGAGTTCTCCACTGATTAGTCTACACAATGTTCCTTCTGTCTCACTTTACATCATGTACAAAGACATGACATTTCACAGAGTTTGAAGGATTTATGCTCAGAGAAGCTGATGAAGAGCTCATCAGGTGGTTTCCAGCTGAAGGTTTGACTGAGGTTTAGATATTTTTGCAGAACAGTAGCAGTAGGTTTCACAACCAAAAACAATGACTTTAATTAAATGTATTTTTAAAGCTATTTTTGATAATTTTAAAGATATTTAAAAAGGAAGCGACCAACTTCTCTACAATCACAGCACTGTAAACCTTTTATATAGCAGTATAAATACCTAAACAATGGCTATTTGCATCCTTAAAGGTCCCATATTTTACACCTTTCCTGTGTTTTATTTAAAGTGTTAATTTCCATAAGAAGACATATATGTGGTTTTAAGTACCAAAAACCATCTCAATGTAGTTTTACATCTTCTCTCTGGAGCTAATAACAGGTCGGCTAATAACAGGTCGGTGAGCCAATCAGAAGAGAGGCTCTGAGTCATAAGGCATGACTGCTTGTTTTACGGCTCATTTTAAGGCTCAGTTTCTGAATACAGGCTGTGTGCATTTTTCTGTGGACTGTGCGTTTTGATACATTCACATTATTAATATATGGAATGGAAATCATGGAAGTCTCACTTTAATCAATAGGGGACGTTTTTAAAGGATTAAAAGCAAAAATGCAGAATGCAGAAAGGTGTTGTGCTGCAGTTGTTTTATTGTCCCCAAGATGGCATCTCCAAGAAAAACTCACCACAAATCTGTTCAAGCTGCTGTTAGATAACCAGAAAAAAAACATAATCCCAATTCTAGTCACACGTCACCAGGCACTTTCCCAAAAGCAGAGAGTACAGTAACTTTAGTTGTGATATCCAGGTCTACATCCATGTGAAATACACATTTTTATGACAAGGAGCAATGACCTGCATCACTGATAGCTACAGAGGTAGCGGTACACACTTCCTGGAAGCATGATGAATAGCAGTTGTAGGGGCGCCCCAATCTGATTTGCAGCCAGTATCGATGCTAAGGCGAAGTCAGACTCAAATCTATACAGTAAAATGAATCTGTGTGTCTTTAATGTGTGTGTCTTGGTTCTAGAAACTTGGTGACATAGTGACTACTCCCAGAGCTTCCCTCTATTTTCTCTTTGTTTAGTCAACAGTGGGCGGTATGGTGGTGCAGTGGTTAGCACTGTCGCCTGACAGCAAGAACGTTCTGGGTTCAAACCTGCCAGCCAGCTATGCAGGTTTCCTTCAGGTACTCAGGTACTCCTCCTGCAGTCCAAAGACATGCAGGTTAATTGGCGATTCTAAATTGCCTGTAGATGTGATGGTTGTTTGTCTGTATGTTGGGTGTTCCCCACCTTATCGGATTGGCTCTAGCCCCTCCGCAACCCTATAAGGATAAGCAGTATGGATAATGAATGAGTTCACCAAAATTGATTTACTTTCCCCCATCAGTAAATCCATTGGAATAAAGTGAATACAGTGAAAACTCTGCATTTTAATTGCTGGTCCTTTAAGCATGTAACCCTACGGTAAAGACTCAGATTTGCTATGCGCTCTATCAGGTGAAGTACCAGGGCGTCAGTGTCTTAAAATTTTGTAATAAATTAAGTTTTTCTGCTCTCAACCCTATAGTCATAAAGGGATACTGACCCAACAGTCCTCAGTACATAACATTACCAGGTTTTAGATGAGTGTTTGGTCCTGGCAGGTATTGTGGGTTGAGGTACTGGTTTGATTAAAAAAAAACATGAAGCAGAGCTGCAGGGAGAGTGTCTCTTTCTGTTGCTGCTGTGAAACTCAAATCTGTCCCCGCCTTTGTTCAGAACCTGATCTGGGGTGTTGCTGCGGATGCCATTGTGCTCTGGGTTTGTGATGAAACAACACCTCTGATTCTTCTCTTCGTCTCCCCTTCCTCAGGGACGTCATCAAGAGAATAGACCAGTCAGAATTTGAGGGATTTGAATACATCAACCCCCTGCTGCTATCCACAGAAGAGTCTGTATGAAGGAGAGACGAGCTTCCTCCTTCGCCCACCTACTGTCTGTCCAAGCTGCCGTCTCAGCCAAAAACCACTCGCAAGCCAACTCTGAAAGGCAAGCAGGAGGAGGAGTAAAGGACAACATGGAGGATGAACTCCCTCTCTGGACCTGTCAACAAGGCAAAGCAAACAGGAGAATGGGAGAATTTCCCTCCTGGACGATTCAGATTGTTTTGTCGGGGTACCACACTCTTCTTTCTTGGTATCTACAAGGAAACTGAAGACACTGAACTACAAGACCATTCCCTGTCCTTACATCGTCTTCCCCTCTTCTTTTTCTTTTTCTCCCTCGGCTTCATTCCTTTCTCCCGTCAGAATGTCCATCCTCATGTCAAAGCATGACTGGCTTTGTAATTTGAACAGAGAGCTGTTGTTAATTCTGTGCCTGCCATCATGAACACATTATTTCAACCCGACTCGCATCCCTGGATGAATATGACAGTTCTGCTGAGGAACTTGAAATTTTATGTGCACTTTTTTTCTTTTTCTTTTTTTTTTTTAAATTTCTTTCTATCTTGTAGGGGGGAGGGGGCGACGCCTCACACGAAACAAGAATGTACAATGACAAAGGAAAAAAATAAGTTATTATTGTGTATTATATTGTAGGTAGTGAATCCAAAATTGACGATGCCTTTTTATTGATGCAAGTGGCACATTTTCATCTGTAATCACAAACTTGTTTCTTTTTGTTATCTTTTATGATTTTCACAAACAATGGGGGAAAAAAATAGCTGAGTGGGAGACAGCTTTTTATTTAAGAAGTGCCTCAAAGATCAAATTAATTACCTTGTCTCTGAATGCACTTATCTCTTATTGAACATTTCTTCACCCATCATTAAATCAGACCAACTGAAGCCATGGCCAAACTCTGCCAGGGTTGGTCCAAACTGTTCAAATTTTGAGAGGAATCTATACATGTGGAGCACAGTAACCTGCCTCAGTCCTGAAACACAAGTGAATCTTTTCATTTTTAACGAATCAATTCAAATAGTCAGTGTAGAACTGATTATTTATGACTGGTCTATAGATTCACAAGAGCAGCATCTCAGCCAGCGTCAGAAATCATTGAAACTGGTGGCAGTAAGAGTCGAAATGCTCAAAGATAAAGTTTGATGTTCAGATATTCAATAGTGAAGATTGTGTCCTGCTCATCGAGTTTTTCCAAAGCCAAACTATCATTTTGAAATGTCATCCAGCAGACAGCGTCTACACTGTCCTGTATTTAGGATAAAAACCTTGTATAAAGGTGTAGAAAGGCCACGGTGTGCTTTCTGCCAATTACAGTCTGGCAGCTTTAAAAAAACATTATATCAGGACTTCAGCTGAGAGTGAAAGCAGTTCATTGGCTCTGGCCTCCACAGTGTGCACAGGCTTGCTGGCCGAGCTCGGATTCTTCCACACCAGCTGCCACTGCGTGACCATCTGCGGCCGGTCGACAGTCTCATGTGACCGGTTGGTTGTTCTGCTTTGTGGAAACGTGTCTCCATTTCTATTTTGGGCTCATTGTGTGTTTCCATCCCCGCACTGAGGCTGGCTTTACATGGTGCAACTACAGCTGAGTGCCACTTAAAGCGTAAGATTGTTCCTTTAGTGATGAAAGTCCAGATGAAACAACAGAAACAGTCTCTGTTTGCAACCAACAGTCATATTAAATGAAAAATAAGGCTTTCAGAGATGCATCAGAAATGCTCCTTTAGCCTCTGAGTGGGCGGGCCGTTGTTTGATGGACAGCTCAACTGACAGGGGCACTGACACACAATGTTGCCCTGGTGACAAAGGTGCGAAGGGCAGACAGCATTTTGTCAGCAGTGGTGTTGAATAATAACAACCACACCTTTTTTAGAATCAAGAATATAAAACTTTTCCTGTCATGGTACTTATTCTTCCTTAAAGGCACAGGATGTAAATCACAGAGAAGATCTGCTGTTTCATTTGGACTGGATCATTATTATTTTACTCACAGGAAAACAAAGCACTTAGTTTCATATATTTCATTTGTAGTACGCTGTGTCGCTACTTCTTTTAATTCTGGTACTTCACACATTTGTTTATCGATATTTCTTCACCTGAAATTGAAGAAGTCATTTCACCTAGAGCTCCAACAATATAACAAATTGTCATAATTTTTAGACATTTTAAAGATTTAACACTTAACTCAAAAAACATTGGTAGATTATTGATAATAATAATCGCGAATTACAACCCTAGTCACGTCACCTTCATGTCTCATATTGTATTCAAGTGAATGAGGTAATTCAACTTAAAGTGTGCTAAAGCAACATATTCATGTGGAGAGGTGCTGGCAGCAGCTCAGATACAGGTTTCTGATGAGCCTCACCCTTCTAACCACCAACAGATGTGTGTGACTGACTCACGCTGAAAATTAATCAAAATCCAAACTGAGTGTTTTGCTGTTGACCCAGGTACGCTGCTCCAGACCGGGTCTGGACTTATAAACTGTTCTTACACTTCACCACATGTACTGAACTAGCCAGGCCGCAGGTCCAGGAAAAAGATGCAATAACTCTCCCCAGCACTCAAGCACTAAAATTAATTCATACCTGTCCATGTCTGCACAGAGCTAATGTGTTCATTTCAAAATGTGTGACGGACTGTGCATGCTGACAAACGTGACTATATCTGTTTACGCAATGTAGTTCAAACAGAACCTCAGGTGCATCAGCTGTGTGTCTGGACTGTATCTACCCCTGATGGCTGATTAACAGAACTTGGTACCAACTGAAATGTATCTGTAGCACTGAAAACGGACATACATCAAAAGTTGACGTCAAATGCTTCAGATCAGAGGGCCGATTGCACAAAACACCTTAAGTTTTTCCTTAAAGTCTGAGTTAAAGTTTCCTTAAAATAAGAACAGTTGCACAAAACACCCTTATGTCTTCTAAGTATTTAAGGTTTTCTCCTTATTTTGCTCTTATACTTAAGGAATCACTTCAAGTCAGTTAAACTGACTCTATCTTAACTGCAAGATGGCCAAGTTTATGCGATAAATGAAGAAAATGAACGCATCTCAAGAAAATTGTTCTGCGACCAGGAGACACCTTTAACGATGAGGAGGTCAGTTTATGATTTGTCTGACCGTCTAGACTTGGATCCCTCTACCTTTCGCAGCTTAAAGGTTGTTCTACGGTTTTATGCCATAAGATCTTTCTGGTCAGGTATAGTGGAGATGTTTCATGCCCACAGATCTACGGTGTGTCGTGTCCTTCACTAAGTTTCAAACGCTCTAATGTCTGTTGAACACAGTAGTGACGTCCCCATCAGAACAACAGGAGGATGAGATACTGGTGCACTTCTTTAATGTGACTGGCTTCCCAAAAGTGATTAACAGGGATTACAAAAGCTAATGGCATCAAATCAACAGTCTCCATGGAAACAGTAGAATTTTACCACTGTAAAATCTCTTTCACTGCTGCAAATGCCTTAACGTTTTTCCTTAACTAAGGAAACCTTTTAAAAGATTCTGTGCATTTCCCTCAGCTATACTTAAGTAGAAAACTTGTGCTGTTTTGTGCAACCGGCCCCAGATTCTTAGTCTGGTCACACGCCTTGAGCTACGTCAGGAACATTTCTCACGTCAGACTATATTTTATTCAGACATAATTCTTTTACAAAGTTTAGTTATTTAGCATGAGGGTTAAACTTGTTTTAAATTCACCAAAGTAAGGTATCAACAAACAGCACTGGTTTTGAAACTGGAGCATCAGTAACGAACAGTTTGAGTTAATACTCAGCCCTGATCAAGAATGGGCTTTTGTCACCTGCAGCTGACAGCTGCCCAGTGTAAAGTCAGCCCGACACATAGTGGTCAGCTCTCTAACATCACTGGTTTGGAGGCTCAGTTCTGATTCATCAAAGGTTTTCTAACCATAGTTTTCATTTCCCCAGATGCCGGTGCAGAGACAACAACAATAAGCCATGAGTTTATTTGTATACAGGGAAGTTTGAGGCTGTTTAACTTCATGTACTGCCACATTCCTACACAGCAAGCAGCATCTTTTTAAACAAATGTAGGATCCTTGTGCTGTTAAAAGGCACAGCACATCTGTGAATATCAACTCTGAGCACGGATTAAACTCCCCGCCTCTCATACAAGCTGCGTGTTGATCTCTACGTCTGTGCACTTTCAAGGGAAGCTCTCTATTGGCTGGGAGTTATTTGATGAAATCTGACCCGTGCTAATTTGATAACCACATAATAGGATTTATGAGATGATCCTGAGTCAAAGGGTCTCAATTAGCTGCAGGCAAGGAACAGAGAGAGGAGAGATAATGAAGCAGTCCCACAGTCACCAATTAGTCCACCACAATGCGCACACACACACACACACACACACGCATACACACACTTGAAGAAGCTGGAAATCACTTCAACATCCAAGGAAGCTTCGTCCTCCAACCCCCTAAACTCCACCTCCTCTGCAGCATTTTATTAATGTCATGTTTTGTCGATCTTTTCGCACACCAGGTGATGCATTACTTCTTTTTTTCTTACGGGACCAATGGATGAACTGGGAGTCCTTGAAACCACAATACAGAACAGTGAAGGCCGTTCAGAACCCTGAGACGAACAGAATCTTTCTCTAAAACTGAATGAATTAGTCCATGGTTTTTGTTTTAACATACTGCTGGTGGGATACGCTTCATTTTGCTTCACCGCATCTTTGTAAATATGTGTAATTATTAAAAATGATACTGGTTTTCCGTGAATTGAGTCTTTCCTTTTTGCAGACGACAGCAGAAAAATCTTTGCAGATGCTACAGTTTTGTGTGTGTGTGTGTTGCCTGGGAGCTGGCCTCACACGTCCTCACATCCTCTGATCAGCACTTACTCTTTTCATACTGGGAGACTGGAAAAGGCAATTAACCAGTATTCATCAACTAAAACCATTTTCTGTACAGTTTAGTTGATACAGAGAAAATAAACTTGAACTGTTTACGAGAAATTAATATTAAAACTCTGCAGTGGAGTCTTTAGTGGATTTCATCAGCTCAGTCGCACTCCACAGCGCCTGTATGAAGGCGGGAGTGCTCATTTATTTACTGCCCCATGTGCATGATTATCATCTACAGTGCACATCTTGCTGAGCACATTTGGAGAAAGACAGAAAAATTATTTTGAATATATTTTTAGGGTGAAAAGAGAAATTGTTAACGATATGTGAATGTTTTTTTTGTAATAACTATAATGTTTGTGCGACGAGCCAGAGCTCGTTTTCACCGAGGTGGAGTTGACTCAGAGCCAACAAACAGAAAACAGTTAGTTCAAATGGTTTTTAATACATTTCAAGTAATTCAAACGTGCAACATATGAACATGTGAAGGTCAATATCAATCTCATGGTTAGCCTAGCTTAGCATAATGACTGGAACGGCACCTCTAAAGCTCCCTGATTAACATTTATTAATCTGCCCAGAAACACAAGGCAGGTTGTGTAACCTTTTAGGTTTAAAATGAGTCAGTTGTTATTTCTGTGCAGCTTTCTAATTCTAAGAAAATAATAATCCTCTATCAATCAGTGTAATAGATTTTTATGAAAGCAGCTCTGTGAGGAGGATGTGCACTGGTTCAAGTTTGGTCTTTCATCTGCCAGAGGAGGAGGCAGGTTGGACTGTCATCTCAGTTTGGAGATCCTCTCGACCAGCTGGAATCAAAGGCGCCTGCGGCCAAGTGGATGGACTCGAGTGGAGCCAGATTTGGGATCTAGTGTCTAAAGAGGGTAATTTGAAACGACAGCAGGGTCGTCTGAGAGGAGTCATCAGAGTCATTGTGACTACAGCTTTCAGAATACTCCGGGTGTAAAATTCTCAAAACTCAAAACTAACCCTCTTCCCTAACAGGAATGTTCTTCCCACCACCGGGGCCTCTCTCAGTGGACAGCCAGTGTAAATGATCCTCACTGTACGAGCTGCTCTCTGGGTGTGTCCTCCATACAGTATGATCCTGGAGAGTGTGGGGCATCTGGGCCGCTTGCAGCTCCTGGACAGCAGCCAACGCAGCATCCTGTGGACTCACCAGGTCATGTCCACATTCATCTCCGACAGACACTGGGCCAGGTGGCCGTCACAGTCCATCTGGGTGAACCTGGAGTGACATGAACAAGGAGATCCACTACTGCTACTGACAGTGAACACACACTTTTACATGCTGATACATACAGTATGTGTAGGGTTTTAGATACTTAGAAAACTTAGTTTATTGACATATACTGTTAATCCTGTTTATTAGGCCTTTGAAATGAAAAACAAATCATTTCAAGCTTCACCCGAATGTTGTTTAAAGGTCCCATATTTGACACCTTACCCATGTTTTATTTGAAGTGTTGATCCATTAGAAGATATATTTGTGGTTCTAAGAACCAAAAACCATTTCAATGTAGTTTTACATCTAGTAACAACAGGTCGGTGAGCCAATCAAAAGAGACGCTCTGATCCTCTCTTCTGATTGGCTGACTGTTTTCTGAGCGTTCTAATAAAAATATAGCAGATTTGAGGTAAACACATTTAAAGTCTTTACAATACTTGATGGTAGAAAACAAATAAAAAAATAATGAAATGAAATGAATGATTAATACTATAACAGAGGCGTTGCACATGAGAGGAATATGAGTGGAGGACGAAGAGTAAGAGCAGCAGAGTTCAGCTCCGCTGTGTCCACTCTTACAGAGGTGATCATTGTTTCTGCCGCAGACCTGCAGAGTGAGCACAGCCTGGTCCTGCAGCCCAGGCCAACATACACAGAGTCCAGCTCAAGAGCCACCAGGTCAGACCAGGACCAGACCGACAGCAGCACAAGGAGAGGATTATTCACACACTGACAGAGCCGGCTTGCTTCCCCTCGTCCTCATCACTCCACGGCACCAAAGTGACTTTTTGACCTGGTGAGTGTGCTTCTGACTGTCTGTACGAGGGGTGTCCCTATCAAGTTTTTTTTGGCCCAGATCCCGATCAGAGTCTTTTAATGTAGTTCATCTAGAAATCATCTCTAAAATCTCACGTCATGTCTCAGTCCGGTTGTTTAGTCCAGACTAGAACTGAATCAACAGTTTTCACACCAGTCTAAACGAACCAGTGACCAAGTGAATGCACCTGAATTAGTTTTTATTATTAATTCATTTAGATGAATTTATATTTGTTTGCATTTTCTATTGATCCCAAATTGTAAATCAATAAATTATGAAAATCTTGATTAAATATTGACATTTTAAGTATAGGCGTGTGATTTTGCTATTTTAAGTTACTAATAACCTTAAAGGAGTTGGAAGTCAACAAACCAATCTAGCACATAAATGAAGGAGGGGAATAAAGGAAAGGAAAATAGGATAGAAACTAAAACGTGTTAGAAATGGTTTTTCCGGGCTGTGCAGGAGAGAATGAGCACGGGGGCAGTTCAGAGATGTTTGTGCGACTGCTTCTTTTAAACTTGAACAATTTATTCCTATTGCTACCACAGTAAGGGCAGCAGGAGAACAACATTCATGGAAACAGCTAGAAATGAAAGGCAGCTGAACAATGAGCTGGTGAATGGGACTGAAACTCTCAGGACAGAGATGTCGATGGAAGAGAGAGAATTTTCACATAAGTGCAGTTTTCGTTGAAAAACAGAAATTGTGTTGCATCTCTTACCCCACAGGAAACACCAGAAGGCACATGGGGCAGCTCTGCAGCCCTCCTTCTCCTCCTCCTGCTACTCGTCCATCTCTTCTGACACTCCCCTGTACCTCCTCTTCCTCTTTATCCTTCACCACCTCCTCTTTATTTCCACCCTCCTTCTGCAGAGACACTCGACTGTCAGAAACCTTCACCTGGTCTGTGAGATGCTTTCTGTTGACTGGTCCAGCCTCTTCTTCTTCCTCTCCTCCTTTCATCCCCTCTTCTCCTCTGGCTCTTGAGCATCCTGCTGATGATGCCGCCTCCTCCCAGCTGTGGAGGGACGGACGTCGTCTTTTGGTGGGGGCTTGAAGAGACGCTGTTTTTCCATCATGACTTTGCCTGCTGTGAGAGGACAGCTGTCTGTCAGAGGTGGGTGGTGCTGGTTCGGTCTGTGCTGGGAGGTCCTGCTCAGAGGAGCTGAGCCTGACAGGATCGGGACTTGACAAAGTTGAGGGTTCAGGGAAGGGAGCGACCTCTTCTTTGAGGTCACACCACTGCTGTTCATCTAGCTTTAGTGCTGTTGGCCTCTAAAATGTCAGTGAAAGAAATTCAAATGGAAGAGTCAGTGGCAGCAACATCTGAATTTAAGAGAGATCGTTTCTACAACTGAAGACAGATGATTGGATTGAAGTTGCAATACATCTAAAAAAAAAAAAAAGAACAGAAATGATAATCATTAAAGGTCACTGTGTTTAGTTAAGCAATATCACACGAGAGCACAGCTGTGATTGTCTTCGGTACGGGCCTGTGGCTTCATAGGTATGACCGACTCACCGCCGTGCTGATATTCAGAACGACATCACTCCCTCTCATGTGATATTGCTTAACTAAACAGAACTGGAGGCCTAATCTACACCTCTCAGTCTGAAGCAGATCACTACAGTCAGAATGTCTCTGAACATCTGAACTTTGAAGATGTGTAACTTCGTGTGTTGATGTGTGTCTCTGATGTGAGTCTTGTTGTCAGTTTCATCACTACAGGAACGGTGTAATGAGGTACACTCGATGGTAACGCACCGCTGTAGATGGATGTGGAAGATCAGGAACCAGGTCCCAGTGCTGGTTCTCCAGGTACGGCAGAGCAGACTTCAGTGTGAACGCCCACAGACTCTCCACAGCAGCCAGCGGCTGTCTATTCCACCATGCTGCTGCAGGAACCACTGACCTGCACACCACATATTACACACAACCACCACAAGATCAGTCTGTTTCTGCTTCTTTAATGCAATCCCAGCCCGAACCTCTGCAACCTCGCACGGAGCCTGTTTCTGAATATCACACATCATGAGAAATGTGTTGAATATTAGAGTTTAAAAAATAGATTTAATCTTCCAACAGCCAATAGGGGAGAGCAGGATATGGTGATGATGTTTTCCATTTTTGAATTATTTTGTATGCATTTTTCATCTGTCAATCAAATTATTTATGAAACAGCTCTTTGATCTAGCACACAGTGTCTGCTTGTGTAAATAACAAAGGAAGAGATACATAAATGTAAATGAGCCTACCCTGTGTATTAAAATAGTGAAAACTATAATGTACCTGGATTTTTAGAAACAAGAATGTGAATTTTTTAAATCAGTTGTGTTAAATGATGTAATATACAAGTGCCCACTTTCTCCATGTATTCTCCTCCATCACAGATTCTGTGAAATTTTGTGTAATTCATTTAATGTACTGTGTCTGCCCCACATCTGCCTTCTCTCCTGTGTTTTTACTTTGACATCTACCAGTGTGCTCCCACGTGTGTTTCTATTGGGCATAACAGTTTCCTAAAATCTCTCATCTCTTTGCTCCAGCTTGCATTTAGCCTTACACTAGTTACGACTTCATTACGTGCACCAAATCTTTTTTTATGCCTATGATGTTCCCTTTTTTTGGTACTTGTGTGTGTCCTTGATTGTGAATCTGGAGCTGCATGGTGCAGTGGCAGGTTAATGTGTTCAAACGTGTGTAAGAATCTCCTGTGAGCTCTGACATTTTGGTCTTGGCAAAAAAAAAAAAAAAAAAAATTCAAAAAGATAAAACAAAATTGTAATGGTGTACATTAAGGCTGAACGATTAATCAAAAAATATCATCGAAATTGCAATATGCAAATCTCAGGAGCTGCAATTTTAAGATAAAGGTAAAATGTGTCACAACATACCATTATAAACGGTGCATTGTGGTGCTACAGAGATGCCTCAGCCTATAAGTCATATTCTCCAGATGTAAAGGAACATACACGTTTTTATTTATTTTTATTTTTTGCACATCGTTCAGGCCAAGTGTACATTTTGAAGATAAAAACAGATGAAATCCTAATTTGCTTGAAATCAATCATACAAATTTCCAGGTGAAAATCTGACTATTACATACTATTTCCGGCAAATTGTGCTTTAAGCATTTATTTTTTTTAATTGTTTTTTTCAATGAGGACCTGGTTTTTACCACTCATTTGCTTTTGTCGTCCTTTATTATCAGCATATGGTCTGAGCTTTCCTCAGTAGGGAGAAGTAAAAACTCAAGTCAACATCAGATCTGCTGACTGCAACCTAAAACACTATTCCTAAGTTTCTGTTTTGGCTCCGCTGAGTTTCCATCTTCCAAACCAAAACACCACACAGCGTAGAGAACCGTCATCGTGAGGCAGGTTTAAAAGTTGAACTTTGTGTCTAATAGAACAACTACACTTTATTAACGAATAAACCGAATTTTCAAGTGGCAGCCACTTGTTCGTAAAACATCTCCACCTATGTTTTATATGTGATGTACTTCAGCGGATAAGCAAGAAAATGTTAAAGAGTTATGATTTTAAATGAGGTTCTTTTTTATCGTTTGGCGCTCCGTATTCTCACCGGGCAAATGCTTTATAAAAGTCACTGACTAAAGCGGGGTAGCAGGGACTGTGTATGAAAAAAAAATATATAGTATAGGCTATATGTATTACATAATCTCAGGCCATATTTTGAGCTTTGATGTTTTTATCCATAAACTTCACCGCTAACCCTACATGAAAGTTGACGCTATAAAAAGCGCACCCACCCATCGGTCTCTGCTGTCTTGTCACCGGAGAACACTGTTAGACGGCCCGTCTTCACTGTGTCCCTGGAGGACACCTCCAGATTCAGCTTTTCGACAGAGGATTTCTTTCGTTTAAGTTTGGACTTTGGGTAATTTTCAGCCATGTCGTTTAATCGCTTTAACAGCTTCGAAATTTCGCGCTAGCCTGAGTTACTGGGACTTCCTTGTTCCTGAAATCCTACGTCACTTGATTCCATCCAATCAGACTGAAGTCCTTTTCTGCGGGGATTCCCCAAGCATGCGCGCACACGCACACACCATATTATTCATGAACAGGCTCATGTGGAAATGTGAAGATAGTTTAGGCCTGTACACACTCTGCTTTGTTGTTTTCTTCCCCAGAATATGTAAATAACTTGTTTCAGTAAGAACGCCTGTACACCTGTGTTCAGCTGGACTGGATGTGACAGGTAAGGGAGTACACCTCTTCCTGCTTGTAGCACTCTCAGTCCAATCAAGTTGCACCATGACAGTGATCAACCAATAATGTGAAAACACCAAACATATGTGTCTGTAATTGACTGACCCTGTTTCAATAGCTTATCATAAGGATGCCTATAGAAATAAATGGATAAGGAAACAAAGACATCAATGGCCGATGTCCATGTAGATAGAATTTTTTGTTACGTTTAGTACGTTTTACTCATGTATTTATCCATTTCTGTTTTTTAATAAATTTCACATTATTTAGACCACTATAGGTAAACTCCATCTCTGACAAAGCTAAATGTTGCATTACTTGTTCTAGCCTGGGTGGCCCCCAAACCCATATATCTAAAAAAGTTCCAGTAAGCTCCAGTAAAAGCAAGTAAACTGACATTGGTTTAAGATCTTTTTTTTGTCGCTGACCAAGTAACTGTGAATGACAATGTTGCTAAGCCACTAATTAACCTTAATTTACAGACTTAGTCTTAAAGTCCTTAAGATGTGCATTTAAATCTGCAACAGATATTAGAAAGCTTTAACAAAAAAAAAAAAAAAAAAAAAAAAATACTGTTAAAAATACTGTTATATTCAGTTAATTCAAGTCTCTCCTTTTTCCATGACAGCTCATCACAAATGGAAAATGACTGCTGGCTAATTTTGAAGGGGCTGGCCCAAGATTTTCTGTGGCCTTAAGCAGAATTTGGCCCCCGGATCAATTTGTTCTAAAAACACAGGAGGGAACTGTAAATTACTGCTGTGTAGATTTCCTTAAAAGTGCTATTGAAAAATAACAATAGTTTCATTTGGAACGTGATGTAAACAAACCCTGAATCCAGTGTTTAGGAGAGAAAAACTCTTTTTTTTCACTGTTTCCTCCACAAAACAACTGGTTAGCAGGTAAAATAAACATTGCAATGTGCAAAACAAGCCAAGTCCTTAATTCAAATCAGGGAAAGAAAAGAAAATAAACAAACTACAGTAACGCCTGGAAAATGGATGGATGGTGAAGTTCATCAAAGTGTAGGATTCTCTCCAAATGAAACAACATGATAAGGAGCTTCTTATGATCCACTGTTTGATCGTATCACATAATCATCAACTCTCAATTTTAATAGACTTATATTATGTCACTCTTGCATAAGGATTTCTACTCAGTGCACACTGAAGCAGGTTACATCATGCAAGAATGCTAACTGTAATGATAATACTTTGTTCCCTCGGCTAGGACACACATAAAGTGGAAAGTTGAAGTCATAATAATGGTGGGACTTTCTGAGCCTTTTAAGCTTTTGGCCAGAAGAGAGGGACCAACGGAGAGTGGCTACAATTATGCAATGGAAAAAGACAAGGGAAAGCTGGACTGAACGGAAGGAAAAGAAAAGAAAGGAAAGTGGAGAACATTATTTAAAAGAATGGAAAACAGCACTATGGGAAAACCTGCCACTTTGAAATAAGGTGAGAGCATTGTTTTTTTCTTTTTTGGAAACAGTGCCCTGTTAGATGAGTATTCCAGAAGGACTGCTGCTGAAATGCTGACATTGGCCAATCAGTTTGTTCTACCTCAACCGCAGATGGGAAGAAATACAAAAGCAGAGCAGTGGGCCAGGCCTGTGGTACATAGTGCTACTCTGGGAAAAAGCAATCCGGCGCCTGGAAAGAAACGTTATGTCACCCATCCCACGTGATGCTGTGTTGTGCTCTGCTACCATGGAGATGGTGAAGATGATGAGGAGAATACAAGTGAGGCAGCAGCAGCCTTAACCATTTAAGTAGAACAAAAAAAAACACCAGAGTGTTTGGGAAGTTATACCACCAGTCAGCTTCTCCATGGTGTGTTGAGAACATACACCCAAAACCATTCAGGTGATGACTGTAGCCAGTTAGAAGACTGGCCTTTAAGTGAAAACTTTGCTGTTCTCCGGGTCAAACCAGTTACTTATTTGCCTACTTAATTCTCTTCATCCCCTGAGCTTCTTCCATTGTTTCCTACCCTCTGTAACATGTTGATCCTCCCCCCAGGTCCTGTTCATCTTGCCTACGTCTCACAGCTCTGTTCCAAGTCATGTTCTTCTGCCTGGTCCATCTCAGTGCAACCTTTAGGAAGATCTATCCATGATCTACCTCCACCTGACGTGCTCCTGATGTTGTTATGTAAATGGATCTTGGTACTTAGGCTGTATTGCTTGGACCAGATGTTGCAGAGTTTGGGAAACATGCCCTGGGTTTTCCACAAACTTGTCTTCATGTCGTTTTGTGTCCCTCTGTCCACACCAGAACCGTGTATGGGGCTAAAACTCTTTATCCCTATATAATAAACTGGAGTCAAGATGTGGTTAGCAGAGGGCTCTTGGTGGCTCACCTGGTAGGTCACGTACCATGAAGGCTTAGTCCTAACTGCAGGGGTTCAAGTCTGACCCATGGCTCTTTTTTGCATTTCACCCCCCACACTCTCTCTCCCTGACTTTCCTGTTTCTCTCTCACTGCAACTGTTGAATTAAAGGTAAAATGCCCAAAAATATAATTGGTCAGGCAAGAAGCCTGAAAGCAGGTCTTCAACTTGCTCTACCTAAGGTGAAAGAATACATCTAAAGCTGACTAATTAACACTTGATGATGATGTACTTGGGTTTTTTTTTGGAACATAGGAGAGAGACCACATACTGACTTCCATCCAGAGTGAAAATTCACTGTTAGCATGTTGTAATTTTGACCATGTGTACCCAGAACCTCTCCAGTCCAACGTTGCTGCTCTAAAACAGAGGTTCAGACTCAAAGGGTTTAGCAGATCAGGTTATTTATACACTCTCAAACACTCAACAAACAAAATTTGTTGGCTAGTCTACTCTAACTGTAGACTCTAATACTGAGACTTTTGGAAACGCTACTGGCCCTGCTTTAGTTTGAAAACTCAGGGGCTGCAATATAGTCTGGACAAGCAGAAATGGAGACCTTTGGAAACGGTGATGTAGACACCCACGGCCGCTCCCTGGTTGGGTCTCATCGACGCATTGAGCCTCGACTACCAGTGGTGAAAGCAACATGGATAACAAGTGTTACTGATCATGTTGTCTCTTCTAGCGGCTGTTTTACAGTTAACAGGGACTGAAACAAAACATTTTGGAAAGAGGGATTTCAGAGATGTGTCTGAAAATTTTTGTAACTGTCCCAAACAGAAAATTTGACAACACTTTATGCCACGACTGGCCCAGAGTTTGGAGATATGAAAACAGACAAAGTGCCTTGAGTTCCTGTCCCAGCTGTGAAATGGACATTATCTGAACATAGCAACAATGAGGACCTTCATGTTTGAGACAAGAGAAGAATTTCAAAAGCTCAAGCAGAGCAAACGGCAAAAAAAAAGAAGAAAAAAAAGACTGCAAGTAAATGATGAGCACAGATGAGCTGATGAGGAGAAAGAAGAGGAGAGCAAGAGGACAAGCACTGCATGCTGGCAACATTGTGAATCATTGAAAATTAGGCTTGGCATACACTCCATACTGTCTAGCAGCTTTGGCCTTGATAGGATGAGAAGCCTGAAGGAAGCACAAGCTTTGTATCTCACTTGTATCCATTACCACTTAATGTACACACACAGACAGTGATAGATTATGTCAGTGTGGTACTGTAGGCCCACACTGTCAGAGCTCAGTGCTGGCTGAAAGAATGGCTTTGTGCCAGACTGACAGGCCCAGCAGAGGCTCTGGTGCCAAAGCCCAGCCCTGTGGCTCCAGCACTGGCACCATCACTGACCACTGCATGCTATTTCTTCATGGGGATCTACTCAATGCACCATGGGGTTATAGTAATATAATGTGCACATAAAGTTGATTTAAATTGTGCTTAGATGTTTTTCCAGAGTAAGATGAGGAGAATCACATTATTCTCATGGAATCTCAGGTGGAGTCAGGATGTGAGTAGCCTAGCTTAGCATAAAGACTGGCGGTAGCTTGTTTGAAAAGATACCCACCAACTCCTCTAAGTTAGTGACTAACACTTCAGTGCAGCGTCTCCAGCTACATAACCAGATGACTATGGTCAGTTAGCAGGTTTTGTGGCACCAAACCTGGCAACCTCACCATCATAACAAGATGTGAGGAAGCTGCACACAGTCACTGCACCTGGTTGTTGTTTATCAAGCAACAGCATAGGTTCGCATATGGATGGTAGGGAATTGTCCCTACCAATATTTGAGGGAACTTGTTTAAACTATAATTTGAGTGAAGTCATATTAGTTCATTCCGATGTGCCCTACAAGAGGCTACGTCTCAGATATAACTGATTTAGGCATGGTAGCATTTGATTGACTGAAAGGGAGGGGGATATCTGAAGGCTCACATCATGTGAGAATATCACAGTGATGCCTAATGTCAGAAGAAAAATGTCAAATGGTGTTATTTAACCATGTTAGCTAACGTTAATGAGCAAGTTAACACTGGCTTCTGTCTTCTGTTGGCTAGTAGTCAGGTTGCTAGCAGGAGTAAGCATAAAATGGTGGATATATCAAAGTATGAGTTTAATTTCTGTTGAAAAATCCCATGAAAATGTTTCCATGAATAGTGACTTTTTTATGCCTTCCTATACAGTGACATTGTTATGCCTTAGTTAACTATGCTGTTTTTACGTCTTACTATACAATGATTTATTAATGGGGTGGCCCAGTGATACAGTGGTTAGAACTGTCACC